CAGTGAACAATATTACAGCTCAGCGACCAATTTATCTCACTTCCTTTTACATAAATTGGCAAGCCTTCCCCTTTTTAAAAATAAATCTTCCTGAAGTCAAATTTTGGGGTCCATGTTCTTAGAAGAGCAAAACCAGAGTACTGTATTCGTTTTGTTCCTTGACTGTTAGAATAAAAGGCTACTAGAGAAAATCCGGCTGGAAGGTTTCTGAGGCAGCTAGCAAGGGTGGGGCTGTTATTCCAGCCTACATACCTGGGCAGCCCAGAGCCGCTACTTCCCTGCCTGCTCCACTCCGCTTTCTCTGCAATCTTCAACAAGCCGTGCACCTTGCCTTTTCTCGTCGAACCTGAGAGAGGGCGGCACGTTTCAGGGCAAGAAACCCGGGGCCCGAGGCCTAGCACCGCCGCCCGTCCCCGGTACCATCCCGCAGGGCAGCTTGGCTGAGCTTACGGTGGGCGAGCCTTGAGCCTGTACCTGGTGGGGCCTCCGCGTTCGCGGGAGAGCCTAGGTCTGGCGTCGGGGTGAGATTGAGCCTCCGACCCGCCCGCTTTTTGCGGGTATAGACCCGTAGCGGCCACATTGCTATCCCACCCTACCCCCAGGCCTTGGGTGCCTCTGGACCCTCGATGGCCTGCCTTCCTGAGGATTAGGGCTAAGTCGCAGGGAGTCAGCGTCCAGGCGAGGCCCGCAGAGCAGCCCCACAGCAATTAACCCGGCGAAAGCAAAAGCCCCAGAACTGGAGCCGCTGGGCCTCGCTCCCGCCTTTTTATCTCCGTGAGGCCGCGCAGAGGCTTCTGGGAAAACGGAGGAACACGGCAGCTGTCCAGCCCTCCTGTAGGGGCCCCATGGTTACTGGGCCGCTGGCGCAGGCTCCCTGAACTGCAGCGAAAAGGGAATTTTTTGAAAAAAACTTCCTCGTCCTGAAAAAGGTTTAATTCAGCCCCTCCTCCTCGGTCTGAGCACTTAGGTTTCCCCTGTGGCTGCATGCTTAATTCAATTGGGCATGAAGGAGTAAAGGCCTTCCCTCCTTTGGGTGGGCCCAACACTTCCTCTGAGCGAGCTCTCCCTATCACCACTGCATAAGGCCTTAGTAATGGAGTTTTAGACCACCAGCACAGGCAGTCTTGTGAGGGGTCGGCCTCAGTGCAGGAAGGTCACAAAGAGGACTGAATGCACCTTAAAGTGACGAGGAGCTTCTCCCCGAGGTATCAACTTCAGTCCCCTGGGCCTCCAACTTACTGGGAGGCTATGGTAATTAAGAGTCTAACCGAGCCTCTGAAGATCCCGGGCTCTAGGAGGCTGCTTCTGGACGACAAACAGAGTCCCTTAGCCTGTGTCCAGGAGCCATCTCTAGACATTTGGGTATCCTTATGGTTAAGGTAGAAGATTCCATAGGGACTCTCCTCCTTGTGCCCTGGGCCTCAACTTGTTGCTGCACCAGACCAGTCAGTTTCTTCTTCTTCTTCTTCTTTTTTTTTTTTTTTTTTTTTTTGGAGACAGGGTCTGGCTTGGCACCCAGGCTGGAGGGAGTGGTACAATCATAGCTCACTGCAGCCTCAAACTCTGGGCTCAAGTGATCCTCCCACCTCAGTCTCCCGAGTAGCTAAGACTACAGGCACATGCCACCACGCCCAGCTAATTTTTAAATTTTTTTTTGTAGAGATGGGGTCTTGCTATGTTATCCCAGCTGGTCTTGAACTCTTGGCCTCACGTGATCTTCCTGCCTTGGCCTCCCAAAGTGTTGGGATTACAGATGTGAGCCACCTTGCCCAGCCTTGGTTCAACTTTTATGTAACAAAATTGCGAGTTGTTTTTCAGTTGCCATGAATCCTCAGGTCATGTAACCTGAGCATGCCTAGATGAACTAAGCATGCACCCACAGGGGAAACCAAGTGCTCAGATCAAGGAGAAGGGACTGAATTAAGAAGCAGATATGCCATGGCAGGATCCAACCAGGTTGAGCTCTGGCTTCATCGCATAGCAGGATCCAGTCAGATCATGCCTCCCAGCGTCACCTCATTACAAGATCCAATCAGATCACGTCTCATTACCCTATGCTTATAAAAACCAACCCAAACCCCAGCTTAGGAAGACAGATTTGAGGATTTCCTCCTGTCTCCTTGCCAACCCATTTGCAATAAAGCTTTTCTTTTCCCAAAAGTCAGTGCCATGGCATTAGCCTCTACATTCATCAGGCCATGAGCCCACTGATTGCTCGGTAACAAACTCTTCTGCTCTGACAATTGGAGACATGTTGGAATTACCTCCCTTTCTCTCCATACCCTAGGTTGAACCATCTGGCGACATCAGATGAGCATACTATGCATGTAACAATAAGCATCTTTTTATTCTAAAAAGTGGAAATAGTTCATAACATTTAAAATGCAGTTTGAAGAGAGAAAACTGTGAAAAGCTCAAAGATTTTTCTGTAACACCTCAATATTGTATGTGCAAATATAAGCACATATATATCCACAGTATTTTTGTAATATAATCACTCCGAATATTTTATTTAAAATCTGCTCATAGAAACATTTGTGATAATCAATTTACTAGATAATTAATCATCAAAATCTAGCTTTCTAAAGAACAGACGGTAGGCATTCTTGCCTGGTTTTACCTAGTGTTTTCAGTCACTGAATCAATATTTACTGAACACCTTAATCTGTATTAAGCACTGTGGTAGGTCCTGGAGATACAGAAGTGAATCGGAAATGGTCCTTCAGTTAAGGATCTCACAGCCGTGCTGCAGTATAAAGTAATTATCATCTTTCAACATCCTTTCTTTAGTCATGTCCATAATATGCTGGCAGGCAGTCTCTAGTTTACAAGCCAGGCCTTTATGCTCCCCCCTCTCTCTTTGGGGGCTGTTGTGAAAAAACTCAGAGTTCTTAAATGACATTCGGGAGGTCTACAGTCTGGGGTGCCTTAGGCCCAGAAATGGAAGAAACATTGCAAAATGAAAATAGGTTAAACCAAAAGCTGGTCTGCCATTTGGTGGTCCTGTTCCCTAGAACTCTGTCTCACTATACTGAATTACATTCACTGATGTGTCATCAAGTAATTCCCACAGGTTTGTGGGAATTAATATATATGGTTTCAAAACCAGAAATAAACTTTGATATGATTTCTTTAGCCAAAAGGGTCCTTAGAGATGATCTAGATGCCCCCTCATTTTGCCACTGAGGGAACCAGAGTGTAGGGAAGCTATTTAAAACAGATGATTGGCATAGGGAACATGGTTCTCCTGGCATCTGGCTGCTGCACCTGTCATACTCCCGTTCTTCCTAACACATGGCTAGGAGAAAAGTAGGGGGAGCAAAGACAGAAGCTTGAATTCCTTGGTAGCAAGGGGAAGTGAAGGAACTAGAGACAGACTTGGTCTCTTTGATACTTCACCTAGAGTCAACCTATAAAGGGGGAAAGAAACGTGTCTCCTACAAAAGGATGAGGTAGGGCAGACATATCTCAAATTCAGTCATCTATCTCCCCCTACTCCACTTCCAAAGCTGCAAACACCAGTGCAAGCGTTCAGTCATGAGTGTTCAAACTTATTCCATTTCCCCATTGCACTGCTTCCATACCTAGACCCAGAACTCAGTAATCAGCATTTCAGTTCAACACATGGTGGATGTGACTAGGCTCAGAACAGTCATGGAGATATTAACTTCCATGGGAAAACAAATGTCAAAGAGATTTCTGAATAAATGTTTTGGAGAAACAGCCAGTTTGTGGGTTTGAGATTCCCCGGAGCCCAAAGGAAATCTTTTTGAATGATGTTTTCTCATGGAGTAACCCACTGAGCATCTTTGTGGTGCTATCCATGAACTATAGGAGTCCAACTGCAAACCAGTTTATGTTTGCTTGGATGACAAGAATGGAATAAATTACAGTGATAGAGGAAATGTACCTTCAGGTATTGCAGTCTTAATGCTATGCAACATATGAAAAAGGACCAAGGGGATTTTCCTTCAATACGCATTTCTTTAGCATCTGCTATCAGCCAGAGCTGCACTGGGCCTAAAACTTCAAGCAACTCAGTCTAAGTGGGGGTGGGGCAAAAGGATCATCAACCAATCAACCACGTGGAAAGCTTCTCAGAGAAAAGGATGCTGGAATCTGAGTTTTAAAAGATGAGTGGTAGGAATTAGGGGACTTAGAGGAAAGGGCATTCCAGGAGAAAGGGACTATATGTATAAAGGCATGCAGGCACAAGAAAGTATGATGCTTTTAGGAAACTACAAAAAGTAATGAGTATGATTGGAGCCGAGGCTCCATGGAGGAGGGAGTAGAAGAGATGCTAGTCCTTGTGTGCTGAACCAGCGAGTTTGAAGTTTATCCTGGAAACTATGGGAAGTCACTGAAGGACTATTAAGCAGGAAAGTGGCATAACTAGATTTTCCATTTAGAAAGATTGCCCTGGCTGAAATGTGGATGGCGAAATTTGAGGATGCTGGAGTGGAAACATGAAGGCTAGTTAATAAAGCACTGTAATATTCCAGAAAAGAGATAAGGGTGGCACAAACTACACTAATAGCTGTGACAATAGGGAGGAATGGATGATAGCAAACACATGGAGAAGGCAGAATCTGCATATCTTGGACACAGCAGAATTCATCATTTTAAGAAATCGTATCCATTATTCTGAATATGAGTAAAAGACATGGAAATGGTATTTTAAAGGCCACCATAATGGAAAATTTGAAGACAGTTATTTGTTATGTATTCATAAAAATGATTTAAATCCAGGCGATATCTGACAATAGCAAAAATTCCAACAGTGGCTTGGGCAAAGGAGCTCTTCTCTGGATGGACCATAAGTTCTTGGAGTTTGTGGAACGTTAACAGAGGATGTAGAATACGAATGTAAAGTATACTGATTGGTAATGTAGCTTGATACTATGTTTATCATAAGCACTAACTGTGATTGATAATTACCAAATATATTCACATGAGGGGATTATATTATATAAATATATAAAATAGTAATTATAAGCAACTTTGAGAAATGAAAAATCTTTTATTTTTTACAAAAATTTTCATAAATGCATTTTATATTTAATATACATGCTATTATAACAAAGCAACTGAAAATGTAATTACAGTTAAGGTACTTTTATGTATATTTAAAAAGTAATATTTTAATCCCCTCAATTTTTAAAAATTGAAAGTAGAATAAGCAATTCTTCAAAAAATATCCATTTTCCCCCATGCAACTGTTGCAGTGATTTAACAAGGTAAATTAGAATAATCAGTCAAATGAATGTTTAAAAGCCACCGTCACCTCATGAAACCCTTTCCATTTGGGACCAAGTTTAGAAATGCTCATATTTCAAATATTTATCTACTGCTTCTGTGTTACAACCAATAATGTGTTCTAACTGAAGAGCTTCTCATTTGGGGTATTCACCTTACTTGAATGCTAACCCACTTCTTATTGCAGTTAATTGTAAATTCACAGAAAGTGTTTTCTAGCATACTTGAGAGGAAATTCAGACTACTAGGATCCCTTTTTCTTTTCATGTAAATGCTTCCTTAAAATTAAAACCAGCAAGGAAATACAGACAATTTATAGTTTACCAATTTTATATATGGTTATTCATTCTTTTTTTTCCTGAGATAGCACATTTGTAAGTAGTCTGTTTTCATGCAAAAATATATTTTCCCATTCTTTACATTCATTTTAAAGTATTTTATATTTTAAATAACTATATCACATTTGTGCTTCATACATTTGGAAAATAAAGGATATTTCATTTTCTTTACTGCAGAAAAAGGAAAGGTTATTGGTTCTTTAATAGGTAATACAATCAAATTAAGTGCTGATTTCAAATTGCTAAAACATTACCTGATTGTAAAAAATTCCAATGGAAAGTTCTATTTTTTTCTCATACTTGTAGTTTTAACTACATTTAGAATGAAAGCATGACTTGTGTAAATGAAGGAGACATAAAATGTTTAATCCTTGGATTTCTGAGTTTGTGAGTTCCTAATACATGGGGTTAGGCCTACATACTATACCTGACCAGAGTCTCCTCTCCCATTTGCAAGGAAAGTCTCAATATTATATAAAGACATCTTCCACAGCAAAGGGAAAAACAGATTTGGTATATATTTTATAATATACACAAAAGGATCTGTTTGCAAAATATGAGAATTACTAATACATTTGAATAACAGATAAAAAGGCCAAACATTTAAGAACGTATTTACACTTAAGGAACTGATTCTCTATTATACTTCTAGGCTTAAATAGGATCTGATGCCCAATATGAATGTGACTATCATAAGTACAACACCTTTTTCTATCTTTGTTAATGAGAAATACAAATTTTTTTCTCCTCCAGAATAAAGTTGGGAAATCTGAAGCAAGAAGGATTTTTCCATTGATACATAGGGTTTCATTTCTCATTTCTTACAAAATTAAGTGGCATTAAACAGAGAAATAGATAAATGTACATGCAATATATTTAGGGTACACTATTTACTTTTCTCAGCACATCTCAACTAACCCATTTATTGGCCCAAGTGTGATGATTTCCACATAGACCTGGAAATCTAGAAATATAAGGTCTTTTAAGTGGCAAAAGAAGAAATCTGTTTTTTGTTTTTTTGTTTTTTTGTTTTTTGTTTTTTTTTTGAGATGGAGTATTGTTCTGTGGCCCAGGCTGGAGTGCAGTGGCACAATCTCGACTTACTGCAAGCTCTGCCTCCCAGGTTCACACCATTCTCCTGCCTCAGCCTCCCGAGTAGCTGGGACTACAGGCACCCGCAACCACACCCGGCTAATTTTTGTATTTTTTTAGTAGAGACAGGGTTTCATCGTGTTAGCCAGGATGGTCTCGATCTCCTGACCTTGTGATCTGCCCGCCTTGGCCTCCCAAAGTGCTGGGATTACAGGCGTGAGCCACTGTGCCTGGCCAAAAAGAAGAAATCTTAAGTTGTCCATAATCAGTCATATCTATTATAAAGTATAAATAAAACAAAATAAGTTTTAAATTATTTGTTTATGTCACATTGTCCAAAATTCTTTTGGGCTTAAAGTCAACTATGAAATTTTAGTTGAGTAGGAGGACAATGAGAAACAGCTTCTTTTTTTGTTGTTATTGAAATGTAAGCAACTTGCCCTTAAAATAGTACGAATATCCAGTTCAGGTAACAATTTTCACTTTTAATTAGTCAAATATATATTAAATATAAAAATCTAATGCTATACAGATGTGACTTTGGACATTTTAAGTATTAGCTTATTCAGAAACGCCTTTAAAATCAGTGTGTATAGAACTAGCTCATTTCTTAAATGTCAAATTTAGAAGTGCAACAGTGGGTCTTCAGAGAGAATATGCCCAAGAAAGACTGGATAAAAAGACTGGGTAAATACATCAAATGAAACTGTGATTCACTTTTGACAAGACTGAAATATAAGTATATAATCACTGATGCATATTTATTCAGTAGGCCCATGTGATTATGAGGTTTTTAACAGCATTTATTTTTGCAAACTGCTTGGCATTGCTCCAAGGGAAAGGAGCTTCTAGACTACAAACACTGAGCATGTATATTTTAAATTAACACATGAATTGCATATGGATTGTTCATATGCTGTTAGAGTCCTATCTCTACAGAAGAAAAACAGCTTCCTGGGATCTATTCGTTTTTCAGAGGCACAATCTATAGCTTGGCACTTAATTGCTGTCCATGGTATCTGGACTTTAGTTATATGAAATTGTTGACACCCCAATACAGGGTGGGTCTAAATACATAATGCAAGAAAGGAGGTTTTAGTGGGTAAACTTGGGCACTTCTAAAGATTTTAAGAATGGAATTATGCCATTAGGCAGTATTTCTTTGTCTATGGACTTAAAAAGTTTTCTTGGGGCATTTTAAAGAGGTTTATCAAGTTACATTGTTGAAAAACTATTTTCCCTGGAAATAATATCCTCTCCTTCCCACCTTCTGCCCTGATATTCTTACTGGAAAAAAGTGAAATTGTTCAGAATTACAACCATATAGGGTTTCCAGGCATAGCGTGGGCACATTGGGAATGGAAAACTAGAAGACCCCAGCAAGGAATATAGGTACATTAATTGCTGCCTACCCTGAGAAATAACTCTGAGTTTCTTCTCCCAAGTCTTCCTCAAGGATCCATTCATTGTAGAGTCAACAGATGTCTTTTAGAATTCATTATGATAAGAAGTCCATGAACATATACATACTATCCTTGAATAGTTTTCCATTATATTTTTTCTAGATAGTTCCTGAATATTTTAATGAGCTTAATAAATGAGAAAACGTATTGAAAGGTCTTTGTAAGTTACTATATAAATATGACATGTGTTTTAATAATATCTGAATTTGGCTGTGAACAGTGGCTCATGCCTGTAATCCTAGCACTTAGGGAGGCCAAGGCGGGAGGATCCCTTCAGCTCAGGAGCTTGAGACCAGCCTGAACAAAATATCTAAAAAGAAGATTTTCTATTAGCCAGGTGTGGTGGCATGCACCTGTAGTCTCAGCTACTTGGGAGGTGAGACAGGAGGATCGCTTGAGCCCAAGAGATGGAGACTGCAATGAGCCATGATTGAGCCACTGCACTCCTTTGAGACAGAGCAGTCCCTGTCTCCAAACAAAAAGAAAAAAAAAAAGAATTTCTGAATTTGCATTTTTCATGAATGAAAGTAAAAATCAGATAGAAAACTTTCACATATGACAATATGGATTGTCATGTTTAAAGAATCTGAAGTTACATAGACTATGAGTTATCATGTTTTGTTTTAGCATGATTCTGTACACCTAGCTTTAATTTTTGAAGTCTGATTTAATTGTGATTTTGACAATCAGTTATTGAATGAGGTAGTCCGCACTGCCTAGATATTTACTGCATCTGGTTGCTATTTCACAAATAATTAAGTACAATATATCACTTATGTTTTTCCTTTATGTTTAATAGGAGTTCTGTGAACATTGAGAATATATTACTTTTAGTGGTACACAGTTCTTGAGAAAATGTCTTGATTTTTACATTGCCATTTGTGATATTTTTAGCAGCCCGCTACAATATCATTTTAATAATAAAAATAAAGTGTACTCATTGATGATAGAGAAAATATTGTTAAAGACCTCTTGGGACAGGAAAAGGCTCAGTCGTAAAATCAGATGCTTATTCATTTTCAGATGTGTCATTTTGACTCATTACTTTCAAGAATAACTATAATATTGCTACACAGTCCATTATACTGGGAAGAACTTTCCTTGAACTTCACATGGAGATTGAGTAAAGCTCTTCTATTTGTTTTTTGAAGTACTCTCTCAGCTCAGGTCTCTTAGCTTTTAGTGTTGGTGTCAGCAAGCCATTTTGAACTGAGAACATGTCAGAATGGATGTGAATGGCTTTAACCTAAAAACCAAATGCAGAATACATCTTTAACAGGAATAGAACACAGTATTCATAGTATACATGGTAAAAAGCAAACAGGCATATGAGAATAGATATATTGACATACAGACCTTATGCTAAGTCAAAATTATGTTGAGAACACTTCAGCCCATTTTACGTATCTAAAAGCCAACTTTTTTCCTTCCTATTCATTCATTTAGCCAGTCAACAGAAATGAATTAGTTACTTACTCTATGCCAGGCACTGAGGATACAAAGAGGAATCATGAATGCCTCTTGCCCTTAGGGAGTGCACATTCACGTCCAGTAGTGAAGACAAAGAAACACCGGGCAATTATCAGTATGGTATGCATGGGATAAAGGGCATCCATCTCAGGCATAGGAGGGGAGAGGGAGAGGCAGTCAGGGAAGACTTCCCAAATCAGATGGATGTTAAATAATGGGTTATAGTTAACCAGCAGAGGGAAAAAGTGGGTGGAGAAGGGCATCATAGGCAGAGGCAACCCCGAAACAAAGCCATGGGAGTGAGAAATGGCAGAGTGTGAAAAAGGAACTCTAAGTGGTTTCTTGTTACATAAGAGGCAAAGAGTGTGAGGGATGAAGCTAAAGTGGTAGATGAGCCAGTTTATGGAGGAGCGCAAATTTTATTCCAAATACAATAGTAAGATACTGAAGATTTTTAGTTAGGGCAATGGTATGACTGAATACACATTTTGGAGAGATCTCTCCAAGAGAAATGGGAAGATTGTTTTTGAGGGGATTTCTACTTGGACATCCAATTTAAATAGCTGGAAATCTTGCCTAAAGATGGGCATCATCTTTATGTTATCATCTATGGCTAAAGATAGATATCACCTTAAATAGCTGGAAACCTTGGCTAGAGATATGTATCATCAAGAGTTTCAAAATCAGAAAAAGAAAAAAAAAGAGTTTCAAAATCAGATATGGTTATTGTAAAAAGGGTTTTGTCTGAAAACTCTCTCAGTGTGCTTGGTATTCAAAGAAGCACAGATTCAGTAAGGAATAGGGCTGCTGTTCTTTGTATCCTATAGAATATACTTTTTTCCTAATTTGTTGTTACCAAACATAAACCATCCTAGGAGACCCAATATTTATTGCAAACAGATCCCAAGGGAGACGTTTTTAAACCATAGTGCACTGAGAACTAGGTGATCTGCAGAGGCCACTGCCAGGGATGGTGTAGAAGTGGGGTTTAGATAGGTAAGGGTAGAAAGGAGATGGAGAAGGGTGGGAGGATGAGGTGAGGTGCTTAGGAGTAAGAGTGTGTGTGTAGAAGCTCTGGCTCAAGCCCTAAACCAACCTGAGTAGCACTGCTCTTATGTTTTGTGCATGCTCAATTTTTACATAAGATGTCATCTAAGTTCTACTTAAGTAAGTTTAGAAATCACCATTTGATGACAAAATTAATTTGTCTAAAGAAAACATTAACACAATCGAAATCAAATTTAATCTTAGTTACAGGGATTTAATGTAGTAGTAACTAACCTTTACTGTCAAAGTGAAGAACTGAAAAATTGACAGTGCTAATATCCTTAACTTTTCAAAAAAAAATTTCTCTTTCTGCAGAAGCACTATCACATAAAGACTTCTGGTAAGTGCAAACCATCTATCCAACTTCTTTTGTTATTAAAATTAATACTATGCTTTAAAAAAGGAGATACAAATGCCAAGATATAATTTATCAGTGTTGTAGCCTGGGTTTTGGCTTGTCTGCATTCCTAACAGCATGTAGAGAACATTGTGTAATTGGGACAAGAGTCTATGTTCAGTATGGGAACTTGGGGTGAATATCTTTGAAAAGCCAGCAGTGACAAGCAGAAACTACTAAAAAAATACAGTACTGGAAATATAGATTTCATAAGGAGAGGTATATAATATCATTTATATGGTTAAGTAGAAATGTAAAAGAAAACATTATGATCTTTGGAAGAAAGAACTGCATCAACAGGTAGCTTTGAATATCTGCTGAGCCAGCTACCTCCTCAAACCTAAATGACTGAGTGGGACATCTGCAGCTCCATGTGGCTGTCTGCAAACTAGTTCTGCCTGAGAAGAGGCTATATCATTAAATACAGCCTTGCAGAAGATCAAACAATATGGCAGCCTGCTCTGGGATCACCTTTCAGTCCCTTAGGGAGCAGGTCAGAGCGGCACTGCTGCTAGGCTGCCAGTCCCTGGTCTGATCTGACCTACGGCCATTGGACTATTTAAATCCTTCTATGAAAATACCTCTACGACCTGCTTGAGTGACTAAAAACTATAGGCAGTAAGTGGAAAAAAAATGAGTCAGCCAGTTGTTTAACTGACAGTGACTTTAACTATGGGCCACAAACCTATAGTTTCTTTCAGAAGTGAATCAATGATAAAGCACATGTTCATTTTTTATAATTATTATTTTCTCATAAAGCCAAACTGTCCAATTGTGAACTTGTAAAAAACAGGTGTGAGAGTCCTTATTCTCTCTTTATGCCAAACACTTCATGAAACTGGAATTTCCATTTTTTAATTAGCAAAGTTTTTGTTGGGAAAAGAAAAAAGGAGATGGCTAATGTTAGCTTGCCTTCCTGAAACCATACTCTTTTCACTGAAAAGAGATGTTACAGGATTTTTAAAAATAATTCACAAAATACTGTAACATTTAAATATGGCATTGGAATAAAATTCCTCAAAATTGTCCATTTATGCCAACTCATAAAAGCATAAACTTTTCATAATTTTAGAAAGACATAGTGTTTTAAGTTTTTCAATGGTCTTAATGAAATCCTTTAACACAATACTGCTTATAGATAATAAATACAGAATGAATAATTTAGGACAGGAGAGATAAAGTAAAAAAAATTACATGAGTTAGGGAAATGTTCATTTTTTATTTAAAGGCAAATTGGTTAGGTAAGTGTTCATTTCAATGACAGGAAATACAAGAAAATATTTTTAGTAAGTGCTTAATTAGCCAGAAATTTAAAAATCTATCAAGTGTCAAAGTTCACATTATATTGCCTATGCAAATTAATAAGGCATATCAATGTCAAACAAATAGTTAATCATGGTTAAGTATGCTCAAATACTTCCCAGCCACCTGTCTACTCATGAAAACATATCTTCCAAAGATCTCCATAAATTAATAATGATTGGCCTAGTTCTAGGAATTGTCTGTTCTTGGAAATTAAATTACATCAATTGTTTTTCTAATTCAAAGTTTAATTCAGATCAACCAAGTCCAGCAAGTCTGAACTCCTAAAGCTTTTGTTAAATGACTTAAACTGGATATTGAACTCGAATTTGTTATTTGTGTGTGTGTGTGTGTGTGTGTGTGTTTAATTAGAATTATGCCTTAATTGGCCATTCATTTTTGAGGAAGAGGGAAAAGGACAAGCTGACAATGGATTATGGATTAACTGAAATAATTTATGTTAGGCTTTGGATCACAACTGAGAGCACACCCTCCTCAGGCATGAGGCCTGGTTTTTGCTTTCCTGTGGTCAGCTGAGGGCACACACTGGCTGTGGTGGGGAGAATGCCATAGACCAACAAAGAGGAGAATGAGAACAGAGAAAATCAAAAGGCGACAGCCTTGGCAATAAAACTAAAGGCCTCTGAGATCCCACATGACTTCCCTGTATTTGAGGTTACCATGGTGAGGGCAGATTATTAGAGCAGAAACTCTGCGAAAGGCATGTGGAAAGTCAAGAACATGTCTCCTCTCAGTGAAAGCTCTAACTAGAGCAATGGTTAACACTGGAAATTTAACCAAAGGTCCCTTTTAAGCATAATCTTAAGAGTTGGTATTTTTTTCCATGAAGAGGAATCTGGGTGTCATATACTCTGTGTGCCCTGGGGCAGGTCCCGCATCCAAACACCAGCAGGGGGCGTGCAGGCCTTGTGAACGCACCAGGATGTCGGTGGGAACTGCAGTTTAGGCTGCAGCCAGCCCTTCAAATCCACACAGGCCCACACCAACCAGGCTTACGACCACTCATTTGTGGTCCCTGGTCTACATGATCACAGAGGATCCCATCACATAACTCACCACTGAGGAAGGGCAATGAAGTCAGTTCTAGCATATTTGGAAATTTAAATAATTAGTATGCCAAAATTGACCTTTATCTTTTAGAAAGATAAATATAACTTGCCTGAATGCCTCAGATTCCATACTTTTAAAAAATATTTATTTACCCAGGCCCAAATTGCCCTAAAACATACTGACAGATGAGGGTAAAGCAGTGTTTCTCAAAATGGATTAATGTAAAGATCTATTTTAAAAGAAAAACAGTATTTTTAGACCCTGAAACTATGCTTAGATTTCCTTAGTTTGAAACTAAAAAATTAAAATTTTAATCCATGAAAATTTTTTTAAATTGGAAATTAAAGCACTATAAAAGTTTTATATTTTAAACTGGTTTTAAATGTTTTTAGGTTATTGAGTGAACATACAAAATTTAAAGATTCTTGTCAAACTTGAAGACCCCTGTCATTAAATTTGGGGATACAAACTTGTATCAAAAACAATTATTTTAAATTTAAGGAAATTTAAAAAATCAGTATATTAATATTTTTCCATTTGAAGTATTTTTCTCTTTGAATTTTTGACAAAAGAGGATGTATAAATGGTATATGTAAGTCAGTCTAAGTATGCTTATGAGCTCAGTTACAATAAGAACCCAACCTTGCAGAAAAAAAAAAAAAAAAGTCTTGGAGGACTGCTGTGTCCTCTCCCAAAGCACTCTGTTTCCTCCTCTTTACAGAGGGCATGCTGGGCTGACAGATCACTGGCCCGAGGAGACCAATCTTTCCAATGTCCTCCTAACAGGTAACCTTGTCTGCTGAAGCCAAGAAAACAGTCCCCATAAAAATAAAAATAAAAATAAGATAGGACTGTCGTCTTCGTTAATGCAGGAAGTTTGTAAGACAGATAATATACACATGATTTACTAGTGATAGCTAGGGTATTATCTTAGCCTTAAGAAAGTTTGTAATTATAAAGATGAGTACAATCTCTTTTGACATGTGACCTATTTTGGTTCAGGAGGCAGCTTGGAACAGGCCTTCAGGGGTCCATTGGTGCACAGCCTGCTGGCGGGCCACACCATGAAAAGTCAGGAATCTAGGTCAGGGTCACCATGGGTTAATTTAATTTTCATCACTGCCTAAAGGGCTGTAACAAGTATGGGGAGGGTAACAGTTACCTGCTCAAAAGAATGGAGTCCACTTTCTTTTCCTAACCTCACCATATCTTCCAAAATGGCTTTCTTCAGATCCTGAATCAAACCATATGAGAAAAATTACAAGACAAGAACACATTTAAAAATGGAGGTAGAGGAAACAACACTTTTGAGTAAAGTGCAACTGGTGATTGTGCCAACATATGCTAACCCACAGCCCACAACTGAGGCTGATACTCCCTGGCAGCACTCCAATTACCACCTCTCATCGGACAAGTAAGTACCTGAAATGGCCAAAGGAGTGACCATGAATGGGCTAATGGACCACTCAATTTTTTTTAAAGCAGCCTTTTGGTCAGCCTGGTGAATCTTGCTACCCCCAGATGAGCCCAAGGCCCAGGGACCAGTAGGAGAGGGAGGGTCTATGGTTACTGCTAAGAAATGGACCATATGACTCAAGGGGCTGCACTGAGTCAGAGCACAGTGACCTCCCCCACAGAGTTCTACATGTGCCATTAGAAGGTTTCAGGAAGGTGTGAATAGCTAATACTCTAAGCAGGAAGAATTGTGTTACTTTTTCTATTCCATGACTAGCTGTTTACACCCAGTAGACACAAAATCCACCTTCCATCTGAAGGAGCATGGTAGGTGAGTCAGAAAGCCTATGTTCACATCTGACTCTGCTGCTAACCAGCTGTGTGACCTTGGGCAAGTTACCACCCTCCCTGGACTCTCCTCTAAGCCACAAAGCAACAGGGCTGGATGAGCTTTCTGTGATGTCTCCTGGCTTAAAATCCAAACGTTTGTCAATCTTTCTAAGAAGAAATATGAGTTTCTTCAGTAACAAAAAAAGACAAATCTCTGGTTTAGACTCCCCACCATGTATAAAGTAATGTTAGAAATTCTGTAAGAGCTTGAATTTCACTGGTCTACAGCTTTTCTGTCTTCTCATTATGTGGTATCATAAAACATTCAGTAACCTTTCAGGAGACAGCCCCAAGATACCAACCTTACTTGTGCAGAGATCTGCATATGTTCCTTCAATTCCTCTCTTCTGGGCCCAGGAGGGCATAACTTCAGGGTCAGGCACAACAATGCCTACCAAAAAGGCCTGTAGTACTCACCAAAGGAGAACACGGGCATGACAAATGCATTTAAAGTGGTTATTTGTGGTCCAGCATTAAAATTCTCAGACTCCACCTTTTTCAAAAACTAAGTATATGCTTATAAAACATTTGTTCATGTCATAAAATATTTCTGCCAATATATCACACTACTCATTTTCTGATATATTCCCCTAGTTTTATATAAAAAATAAGTTTAAGGACATTAAGAATCAGTAAAGTTAGACTGATATGTACCTTTGATTCTCATGCAAATCTCAGATCAGCACATCTTTAGGAGGCTGATCAAACAACTCTCTGATCCAAATTCTATGAACCAAAAACCAAATGTTTCCCAGCATTACCAAACCACGTTGAAATGGTTTCATTAGTACGATTTTCATTCATGAAACACTTCTTCATTTTGTTTATTTTTTCTTTTGAGACAAGGTTTCACTCTGTTGCCTAGGCAGGAGTTCAGTGGTATGATCATGGCTCACCGCAGCCTCGACCTCCTGAGCTCAAGTGATCCTCCCATCTCAACCTCCCGAGTACCTGGGACTACAGGTGCACGCTAATTTTTGTGTTTTTTGTAGAGATAGGGTTTCATCATGTTACCCAGACTGGTCTTGAACTTCTGGGCTCAAGGAATCCTCCTGCCTCAGTCTCCCAAAGTGCTGGGATTACAGGTGTGAACCACCATGCCAGGCCTATTTTAATTTTTAAAGCATTTCTTTGAAAATAATTTCATAATATTTATAGAAATGCAATGATAGTATAGAATATATCTGATATCAGGTGGGGCATGGTGGCTCACACCTGTAATCCCAGCACTTTGGAGGGGCTTGAGGTGGGCAGGATCACTGAGTCAGGAGTTCAAGACCGGGTCTGGGGCCAACATGGTGAAACCATGTCTCTACTTAAAAATACAAAAAAAAAAAAAAAAAATGGCCAGGCATGATAGTTGGGCACCTGTTAGTCCAGCTAACTCAGGGAGGGGTCTGAGGGCACAGGGATCCACTTGAACCCGCTGAGTGTAGAGGCTGCAGGGCGACGAGATTGTGCACTGGCACTCCAGCCTGGGTAATTGACGTGAAATATTTGATATCTTAGTATCATAGAATATATTCATGGATTTTTTTTTTTTTTTTTTTTTGAGACAGAGTCTCACTCTGTCTGCCCAGGGCTGGAGTGCAAGTGCCAGATTCAGCTCTCACTGCAAGCTCCGCCTCCCTGTGTTTACGCCATTCTCCTGCCTCAGCCTCCCCGAGTAGCTGGGACTACAGGGCCCGCCACCACACCTGGCTAGGGTTTTTGTATTTTTTAGTAGAGACGGGGTTTCACCATGTTAGCCAGGATGGTCTCGATCTCCTGACCTCGTGATCCGCCCATCTCAGCCTCCCAAAGTGCTGGAATTACAGGCTTGAGCCACTGCGCCCGGCCTATTCATGATCTTTCTGACTTTAAATCTAAATACTATTGAAAGGAAAATAAGCATAAAACGCCTCCAAATAACTGAATTCTAGTAACCTATATTAGTACTAGTACCATTAGTACATTTTTTTGCAGTACTCATTAATTTGTGGAGTTCATTTGCATATATAAAAAAATCAAAACAGGCCAAGTGTGATGGTTCATGCCTCTAATCCTAGCACTTTGGAAGGTTGAGGCAGGAGGAGAATCACTCGAGCTCAGGAGTTCGAGACTAGCCTAGACAACATAGCGAGACCTCGTCTCTACTGAAAATGTTAAAAAAAAAAAAAACAAAACAGCTGGGCATAGTGGTGTGTACCTGTAGTCCCAGCTATTGGGGATGGGGAGGGAGGGAGAAAGGGATGAGGTGGGAAGATGGCTAGAGCCCAGGAGGGAGGTTGAGGCTGCAGTGAGCCATGATTATGCCACTGCACTCCAGCCTGGGTGAAAGAGTGAGACCCTGTCTCAATAATAATAATAATAATAATAATAATTTTTAAAATAAAGAATAAAAACAGCAGAAACCCTGAATCTTGCTCTAGTATTTTATCTCAAAAATCCTTGGAAGTAGGTTGAGCATAAGCAAAAAGGAATGGGAATGTTCATTAGTACTACTTCAGACAACTTACTTGACCTAATTACATTTTAGCAAACTCTAAGTAAGATTTCTCCTTTAAAAAGGAGTTTTCTCTCATGTTTTAAAATGCAGAGGAGAATCCTGGTGTCTGATTGGAGATTAATGTTTAATCTGGGTTTTTCAGCATGCCCAGGATATGTGGGAGGGCTGAAGCCCAGAGGCCTCACCTTTAAGCTGTCCCCATGGACATAGATTTGTGCCACAGGTTGGCTCCGGATGTAGATGTTCTCAATCTTCTCGGGTGCAACATATTCTCCCTGAGCAAGTTTAAATATGTGCTTCTTCCGATCAATAACTTTAAGAGTTCCTGCCTGTAGAGTTGGACAAACAGCTTTATAAGAACATGGCACTCTCAAGCCTGAAGCCTTCGCTCCTCAGTGCTGTAACCCCCTGCCCTACCCCACCCTGCAGACCCTGCCCCAATTTCTTTTCCATCTGTTGTGTCTGCTCTTAGGGAGCTGCAAGGCTCCTGGAGAGAACCACTGTGCACCGCAGGTTGATGGCATCCAAGCTCTGCTGGGCCATGAGCATCCACTGTCCTTTCCCCTCAGCAGTTAGCCACCCACACAGTCCTCCCACCACTGCCATCCTCATGCCTAGCAGCAGGTATCCTCACCTCCTCCTTCTTGGAGGCCCACCGCCCTTCCATCAGGGCACCCTTCTTGCACACACCCTTGCTCCAGCTGCCCTTTTTCTCACCAGCATCTTTGGTTCACTCCCTTAGACCAAACTCAGGTCTCTTGCCCAGCTACTGTCTCCACCCCTAAAGAGCAGCCTCTGCATCCCCTGGCATATAGCACAGACCTGACAGAGCCCCTGTGACTCCTACCTGACATGCCAGATGGCACTAGGTGCACAGGCCCCTGCAGAACTTCTGCAGCAGGCAGGTCACCTCCTTGGACAGGGAGTGCTGGTGCCACTGGCTTCCAGGACCTGTTCTCACCTCCCTGACTCTCCTCCACCTTTTTGAGCTTCCAAGGTGATTAGGTGGGCCTCTTGCCCCTCACCTCTACTGACAATGCACCTTGGAGAAAACACCGTTTTCTCTTCATTGGTCACTCCCAAGTCAGTCCAAGCTTCCAGCTCTTCACTGAGCTCCAAATCCAGAACCCAAATACCCTTGGAATGCTTCAAAAACTAGGCTGTTTGTCTCAGAGGATGTAACATGCTCCTATATGAAACTCATGACCAAGCTTCTCAAGCCTGCCCCAGCCTCCAAACCCCAAACCTGGAGATGACCTTGTTGTTTGCCTCTCCTGGGATCTCCAGCGGTCAGGCTCACCTGTCCTTGCTCACAAATTCATCTCATATCCACCTCCTCCCAGCAAAACCACTTCCTGACTGGACTTCGGCACACACTCTGTCTCCACTCCATCTGCTTGATCTGCCAGTGCCAGAGCAATCTCTCCAAAAGGAAAAAATGAGCAGACTCTGTTTTGCTCAAAACCCAGGCTGGACATCAGGTGCTTTCCCTACCCCGGCTTATTTGGTCCTCATGGTCCATTAGCTGAGTGTTGTCCCCTCTGTTTCACAGATGAGGAAAATAAGGATCAGAAAGGTTAGTTAAATCCTCCAAAGCCACACAGCTAGGAGCTAGGGGAACCAGGATTTGAATCCTGATCCTTCTGGACCAGAAGACTATGCTTACTTATTCCTTGATCTATTTAACATGATTTCAAAATAATATTTTTTAAAGCACAAATGTCTTTATAGATGATCTCTACCTAAATTTCAAGAATGAATCATTCAAAGCTTGAACATACTCTTCTAAAAAACAGGGAAAAAACCCACTTACCAACTCATTCAATAAACTGACAACAAAACCATAATAGGGATGTATATAAAAGGTAAATTACAGATCAATCTCATTTGTGAATATAAATGGAAAGATCAAACACAATTTTTAAGAAAAATATTATTTTAAAAGTCACATCATGGTTAAGTTGAATTATGTCAAGAATGCATGATTTGCTTTACATGAGAAATATAGAAAAATAAGTATCTCAATAACTGCAATAAGTTTTAATTAAATTTCAAAAATCATTTAAAAATAATAATTTAAATAATGGACTCTCACAGACTACCTGCCTGCAACTTTAGGCTCTGTGCTCAAGCACAACACTAAGTGCTTTACATGAATCCATTTATTTGCTTCATATTACCCTCTAAATGGTGGATGGTTTCATTCAAGTTACAGGGCATCAGCAGCAGATCCTGGGATTTCTGAGACTTCAAGCTTTTACAATATTGAGGGCCCTCTTTAAGAAAAACCAGGTAAAATGAAGTGCAGGGCCTTGGAAGGGGCTAATGCAAGTGAGGGGGCTTGAAGCCTAAGCTCCCTGAGCCGACAGGACAGTCCACCTTCTGCAGGTGTTTAGGGCCTGCTGACCTCACTAGCCTCTCTCTCCCACACCTGTGGGTCTTCAGTTGGAATTAGTTGCTTCACATGTCTAGTGCCTCTACTCAGCATATATTACTATCACGCCCTGATTGTCCTTCCCACTCCCTCTTCTTGGAACATGACTCATATCCTAAGACTTGGATGCAGTAGGCGCCTGTCCTCCTCTGCCTCTCCCGAGGTGAGTGTGCACCCAGTGTGCCCCCAGCTCATGCCCATCACATTGGGTTGGGAACTGTCTAATCATGCATATCTTCCCTAAGCAGAGTCCCTGGGCCAGGGCACTCACTGGAGATACATCTTTGTCTGGGGCAGGCATGAGGGTTTCTCAAAGGGAAGTACACAGGTCCAAGCAGGGGCAGATCCATTCACCAGCCCACTCGGCCCCCCATGGGCTCAACATCATTCATGTGCCTGATTAACTCAACACCTCAAAATGTCCACCCAAACCTTAGTACTTCCCAAAGACACAGAAGAGGTTCCTGGGGTGGGCTGCACCAGGCAAGAGTTCTCAGTGTCAGTGACAGCCGTTTTCTGGTCAAAGAATTCATCTAAGCATCTCCTATGTGCCCGGCATTGTGCTAAGTGCTTTGCAGGCATAATCTCATTTGTTCCTCACAAAAATAACTTTATTTTTCTTTCTTTTATTAAAACATTTTTAAAGGATAAAATCCAGGCTAGGTGCAGTGACTCATGCCTGTAATCCCAGCACTTTGGGAGGCTGAGATGGGCAGATAACTTGAGGTCAGGGGTTTGAGATCAGCCTGGGCAACATGTTGAAACCCTATCTCTACCAAAAATACAAAAAGTTAGCCAGATGTGATGGCGGGCACCTGTAGTCCCAGCTACTGGGGAGGCTGAGGCAGGAGAATCGCTTGAACCTGGGTGGTGCAGATTGCAGTGAGCCAAGATCTCGTCACTGCACTCCAGTCTAGGTGACAGAACGAGACTCCATTTCATAAATAAATAATAAAGGATAAAGTCCAGATCTCGCACAACACAATAACTTCAGAGGTAAGCAACGTTATGATATCTATTTTAAAAATGAGAGAATTGGCCAGGCGCGGTGGCTCACGCCTGTAATCTCAGCACTTTGGGAGGCCGAGACGGGCAGATCACGAGGTCAGGAGATCGAGACCATCCTGGCTAACACGGTGAAATCCCATCTCTACTAAAATACAAAAAAAAACTAGCCGGGTGTGGTAGCGGCGCCTGTAGTCCCAGCTACTCGGAAGGCTGAGGCAGGAGAATGGCATAAACCTGGCAGGCGGAGCTTGCAGTAGGCCGAGATTGCGCCACTGCACTCCAGCCTGGGTGACAGAGTGAGACTCCATCTCAAAAAAAAAAAAAAAAAAGAGAGAATTAGGCAAAGTGGTTTTGGCTAAAAGCTGGGGGCCATGGCCAAGGAATGCCATGAAGGCGTGTTCTCCTGTTCTATAAGTGAGTCAAGGTGAAGCCACAGACGGGGATGAGGCTCTGCTCAAGGTTACATGAGCAACTGCTGGCAAAGCCACAGGAACTGAAGCATCTTCCCACCTGTCTCCAAGCTTTCCCCTTCACTCAGTGCCACCTTTTGGCTGGGGGCCAGCATTGGTGGGCTTGCAGGGCTTGCCCTTCTCAGACGTCCCAGAGACATGTACCCCCTGTTCCTCCTACTTCACATCAGATTCCACACACTGTCAGAGGTCTTTCTGGAAACCATTAAGGATAGGAATTCAGTCTCCAAGACCTCAGTCACACCTACCTGCACAGGTCCCTCATCACCTTCATGAGACGGAGTAAGAAGAGAAAGAAGCTCTGGGGCTCAGGGAAGGAAGAGCCTCCTCGCAGGTCCCAGAGGTGCTCCTGAATGACTCATTTTCAGGAGGGATTTGGAGAAGACTCCTGTCTCAGTGACCTGGACCACACACCCTCCCACTGCCAAAATGTTTGGAGCTCCATGGTTCCAAACGTACACACCGGCAGCCATTTTCCGATGTCTCCAGTGTGAAGCCAGCCATCGCTGTCCAGGGCCTCCTTCGTCCTGTCTGGATCTTTCAAGTAGCCTTTGAACACATTTGGTCCTCTCACACATATCTATGGGACAAAAACCATGGCTTCTCTCAGCCACAGCATGAGGAATGAGGAGATGGGAGGCTGTCTCCAGGCATACCGAGATAAGGTGCACTATCCATCAGGAAAGCCACTGTGGATATGGCAGGGATGGAAACAGAGGACGAGGAACAGCCTGCAGCTGTCTGAACTGTCTCCTGCCTTCTGTCAAGCAACATCCTCCCCATCTTTCCCCACTGCCCTGGCCACCCTAGGCCTTTGTCATCTCTTCTCCCTCAGGAGCCCTCTGGCCTTGGCCACATGCTGCTCTGTGACACTTGATGGGGACTCATCACAGATATTGATGGCTGGCTGATTCTACCAGGGATGCTTCAGCCCCCTGCTCCATTAGCAGGCAGTCATTCCTACTCACTCCCATGGAATGAACAAGTACAGGCCAGCTCTATCTACTCCATCTGGCCTATTTGTAAAGGGTCATATTTCTGCTGGGACAAATCACACAGCAGTAGGCCATGACACAGTTAGGGGAAAAAATGAATTTTTACAAAAGTTTGGGGCTAGGCATGATGGCTAGCACCTGTAATCTCAGTGCTTTGGGAAGCCGAGGCAGGAAGGATTGCTTGAGGCCAGGAGTTTAAGACCAGCCGGGCAACACAGCAAGACCCAGTCTCTACAAAAAAAATTGAAAAGTTATCTTGGCATGGTGACACGTGCCTGTGGTCCTAGCTACTTGAGAGACTGAAGCAGGAGAGTTGCTTGAGCCCAGGAGTTTGAGGCTATGGTCTTGAGTTCAGTGGACTATGTCCACGCCACTGCACTCCAGCCTGGGTGACAGAGCAAGGCCTTGTCTCTACTAAAAAATTAATTAATTAAGGACCGGACACGGTGGCTCACGCCTATAATCCCAGCACTTTGGGAGGCCGAGGTGGGTGGATCACGAGGTCAGGAGATCGAGACCATCCTGGCTAACACGGTGAAACCCCGTCTCTACTAAAAATATGAAAAAAAGTAGCCAGGCATGGTGGTGGTGCCTGTAGTCCCACCTACTCAGGAGGCTGAGGCAGGAGAATGGCGTGAACCCAGGAGGCAGAGGTTGCAGTGAGCCGAGATCGCGCCACTGCACTCCAGCCCGGACGACAGAGCGAGGCTCCATCAAAAAAAAAAAAAAAAAAAAAAAAAATTAATTAATTTAAAAGTCTGGGAATTCCAAATCTTGATTTAGACCAGCTCAGTCCCAGCACTGGCTCTTGGTTGCCTCATAAACAGGAGAGAAGATGCTGAGTTGAGCTGAGTCAAATTAATCAGTAGTTTAAAATGACTTTATACACAAGGCAAAAGGAAAATCATTCCATCCCTACTGTTCTTGTTTGTTTTTACTCACTACACGTAGCAGCCACAGGCAAGAATGGCTAAATTCTTGTTTACCTCTCCCTCTCCTTTGCAGGCCCAATAGTTCAGTTCCTCAACATCAACGAGCTTGATATGATTGCAGGGAAGCGGTGCCCCTACGTGCCCTGGAACACCGGAGCAAGATGGCATTTGTTAGTGTTCAGATCCGTTTTAGCACTGAAGATGTTCCCAGCCCCTTAAAATCTCTGAGTGGCCAAAGTGGGGAATTATGGATGGAAAGTAACACACCTTTAAAGGGGCATTTGTTACTGGCAAGTGTTGGTAATAAAACAAAGTTCTGGAGAAAGCAAAGGCCAACCTCTGCCTGGGCATTTGTTTTACATCTGATTCTTAATGAGCAGGACAGGCACACCTGGCTCAGCACCAACATGTACAGGGTCCTGGGGGGGGGGGAGCACCAACCACAGGGTCAAGATTTTTGACAACAGTGCCCACATTAAATCATTTTCCCCATTGTCAGATCACACGTCTTGGTTTGGGGATCATAAAATATAGCAATCACTGCTTTTCCTCTAGCCACCAGACTGTTGATTAATGTGCTGGAAATCTAGAAATCGTAAGCTGTGGATTCTGATTCAGTGGGTTTGGAATGGGACCTGAGATTCGACATTTCTTACAGGCACCAAGGTGATGCTGCTGCTGGTCCCACACCACATGTTGAATAACAAACATATGGAAAGCTGGGATGAAGAAACTTGCCCCATGAAAATAAGACTCCAAATTCTCTTGGTCAAATTTACCACAAAATTACATCTAAGTCATTTTTCTAGTGATTGTGGTTGTTAGATAATTCACAGGCAAGTTGGAGAGGTTTTAAGCAGATGCTAGCCAAGGTCCTGAAAGAAAATTGAGCCACCTATATGAAAAATGAGACTTACCACCTTGGTTTCTCTTTTAAAAGAGAGGCTGTCAAATCTTTGACAATACTATTCAAATATATCTATCCTCATACACAAAAGCCTTTTCAAGTCTTATGGTAAGAGTCAAGTGAAAAATGGAAAAACCTCGGCAGTGTTTACATAGGAAAATGTAAAGGATGACTTGAGAGGGAAGAGATACATGTCCAAAAGGAAGGGATACATGAGGGTAGATACTGGAAGAATCTGCTCTAAATCTGGTGGGTAATCCATGGGCTGCCTACTACAGACCTGCTTCCCCTTTTGCTGAAAACCACTCAGCAAAAGAATCCTTCAGGATACTGACTTCCTCTCCAAGCCTGGGGCCACTCTTTGTACTTAAGTTTGCTCAACTACAAACTGGAAAATTTTAGGATGATGTGCATGTGAAAGAAATATACTGTTTAATGCAATATTATTTTCAGAGTACCTTGAGATAGTCAGCAGAAACCGGATAGGTGGATTTTAAACTGAAATCATATTTGGCCAAGGTAAGTATAGAAGCATTTTTTCCTTAGTCCTGTCTTTTAAAATTGTGGTTGAATAAAGCCTATTTTGTAAATAAATTATTTAATCACTTTGCTGCTGGCAGATCCCACAGGAACCACCTTTGGAAATCTTTTTTTTTTTTTTTTGGTCACAGGTTTTAGTATTTTCCTATTTCTTTTATAGATAAAGAGAAATTATGCACAAAAGAAGTAATAGATCACAAGATACAACTCTGGATGGAAAAATGTTTATAATATCAGTATACTGGATTTTTATAGATTCTAGATACTACATGGCCTTGCTTACAGTATTTTAGAAAGAAAGAAGCAGGCTATGAATTGGACATGATGTGTAAAGGAGAGGCAGGTTCATATTGGCCAGGGTACTGTTTCTCAAAGGGCTATTTTAGAGACCCTTTGAAAACTACGTTCTCCTGCGATATCAATGTCTCAAAGGTAGCGGCAACCTCAAAAAGGAACAGCTCTCATCCACACCCTCATTCTAAGGAGATTCATCCTTCAGGGCCAAGTGGAAGCATGGCTGTAGTTCGTAGCCCATGGATTACTCACCAAATTTACACCAGATTCTTCCAGTATGCTAAGGATGAATAAAAAAGGGAAAAACCTCAACAGTGGTTACAGATTCACAATGCCACAGCCCAGACATAACCACCATTAATGTTTTTCTTCTCTCTCTTGCTTTTTTCCTAAGTACCCGTGCAAATTTACTTTCCATGAGGGAGTTTTAGAGCTGGCTGCTTTTACTCCGCAGTGCCTTGCAAGCCAGTCTCACATCTCTAGCCTGTCCTACCTGAGGTCCAGTCGCCAGGTGTGGTGAAGGTACATCCAGCTGTGCACTCAGTTTGGCCATAACCTTCATAAACCTTCAAACAAAACACAGAAGCCACACTGTGGGCACACACCCTCCAAGAGCTGACTGGCCGCCCCTTTCAGACAGCTAACCTCCCACTGAGAGCATCTGACTGCTTCATGATCAGGGAGGTGGAGGGAGGGAGGTGCTCTGGAGGTAGATAACTCCAGGTGAAGCTGAACACAGACAAGAAGCACGGCCACATTCTCTTGGAAGAAGTGCTATTTTTCTTTTTTTTTTTTTTCTTTTGAGATGGAGTCTCACTCTGTCACCCAGGCTGGAGTGCAATGGCACGATCTCAACTCACTGCAAGCTCTGCCTCCCGGGTTCATGCCATTCTCCTGCCTCAGCCCCCCGAGTAGCTGGGACTACGGGCGCCCACCACCACGCCCAGGTAATTTTTTTTTGTTTTTAGTAGAGATGGGGTTTCATCGTATTAGCCAGGATGGTCTCGATCTCCTGACCTCGTGATCCACCCACCTCGGCCTACCAAAGTGCTGGGATTACAGATGTGAGAAGTGCTATTTTTATCACAGACACTTAGTAGATAAGGTTATATAGTTTAGGGTAAAGATTTCTGACCTATTTTCAACCACTGGATCTACTTTTCATCTGGATAATAATGAATTAAAGGTAAACATTTTAAAATCTACTTTGTGTTTTATTTTGGCTCCATAAGCTATTCCCCTCCAGAGCCCCACCTGTTTGCATGAATACACCATGTGGAAGTGTCCGGCTTTAGAAGTGGTCAGGCCATGCTGATGTGGAATAGGAGTACGGTGAATAAAGACTAAGGCTTCTAGAGCAGAAAAATTTAAGCATGCACAATTATGAAAAAGATGGGTCTACTTTACTTAAAATCTGTCAGCCACAACCACATTATGATACGCTACATATGTAGAAACTTAATAAATATAAGTTGAATGGAAAATGAAAAAATAAATCTTTAGAGATGACAAAACATAACAGATCAAATAACACATAAATGGGCTTTCTCCCTTGTTCTCCTTTTCTGGGTTGCAAGATATTTTGCAGGCTGAAGAAGGTAGAGATGCAGCATAGGTGTGGTACAGATTCTCCAGCACATTGATGATCTATCTATGGTTTGTCTAATCCCTTTTGCCCTTTGTGAAAAACTTCCAAAGGTCCAGATAAAAGAATTTCCCAGAGTGGATAAACTTGGGTTTTCCAGAATGTGGCAATGCCATCCTGGCTTTCACTGGCTCTGAGTTTTTTCCTCCTCAGAGGAGGGAGCTTTTATCTCACAAAAATCTTGCCCCCTAGTTCTTTCTCTGAGCAGTAGAGGGTATAGTAGTTTTCCTGCCCTAACGTACTTCCTGCTGTTCCCAAGGGAGGACACACAATGACAATACCTGGCACCCTAGAGCTGCCCGGAGAAATCCCAGAACTGTTGGTGATGCGGGGGCTGCTCCAGTAACGATCATCCGCACACACCCACCAAGACTGGCCTGTGGGAAGAGAGAAGAGCTACCGAATTTTGTGATGTCTGAGATGGTGTCCAGCCCATGTGGGTTTCATCCAAGGTCAACATCCAACAATTGGGTCCTACCTGGATGCTAGGGCTGGTATCAGAAAGAAGGCCTGAGGTTGTACAACACATGAGCTGAGGAAATTCCTTCCCTTTCCTAATGATAAACACAATCAGCTCTGTAACTCAATCCACCATATGGCCAAATATTTTATGCCTTTTGAGATAAGTACCATTAGTCTGGATGGCATTCTATAATATTGGTTCTTCTTCCTTCCTTAAAATACACAGCTGTTCCCTCACTCTCCCATCATTGGCAAGAATCCAAAACAATTACTTAGGACAATTTCTTTCAATTTCCATTTTAATGGCATTGCCTTTTTTCACATATAAATCAATACCATGCTTTATTTACTATACTGCTGAGGACAAAGAATACTTGAAACACTTTGTTTATGTAAGTTGAGCCAAGATATTTTAAATATTAATTTTCATAACTAAAAATAGAGTAGCAATAAAAAATGTATAATGCTACTAATTAACTACAGATTCCTTGGATAATGCAGAGCTTGAAAACTTTTGAGGAGGTACAGAAATGAGTAATTCAAGATTGGTCTGGTGTGGGAGATATTAAAGGGACAGAACACAGGAAAGAAAAAGAAGATTTTGAACCATTTGGCTAGAACCATGCTGCTGGAAAGCCACCATGGCCAGGATTACAGGGAGGGGCAAGAGAACCTTCAGGGCCCAGGAGCTTCTCAGTGGAGCACTGACCTGACTACCCAATGGCAAAGCCACATTGTTGCCTGTGGAGATCAAGGGACCTACTATCCACAGTAGGTTTTCTTCTTGCTCATCTCAAATGTAACGTATTTCCAAAAATCAAAAATGTTTAAGTTTAAAACTTCAATTATAGCTTAAACTTTGATTTCATGAGCAAATGAGTTATTATTTCACACAATTACAGGGCACTGGGGGATGAACTTCTCCAGTTCTCCTGTAAGGTCATCCGTTAGATACTTAGGTGACCCTCTACAATCACTTGTTCATTTTCTTACCTGAATCTTATTAAAGAAGAGTTCATCCCAGATACTATCATTCCTGATGATTCCACTCCGCACCTCGGCCTGCTTACGCTTTGCTGCAAACTCCAGGAGCCAGCGCTTTAATGGTGTGTTTGCCTGGCTGAAGATCTGAGGAACACAAGTTGGAAGCAGCTGTCAGGGCCTGAATGTCTCAATTCTAGACATATCCCCCAGGAATAAGGCCCAGACTGGCCAGAAGAGAAGCCATGTTCCATTTTGCCCCTGCAGGAGGTCACTGAATGTATGACATTGAGCTGAAGGTTAACACTTCCAGGGTCCAGGCATGTTGTGAAGATGGAAGTTCCTGGAAAAAAAAAATCTCTCCCACAGGGGTTTTTGGAGAATAGGAAGAAAACAGGAGAAGGAAGAATGAGAAAGAGTCAGGAACTACAAGAGAGGAAGCAAGTTCTAGGACCTGGTGGTGGAGGCATTGAAAGCCTGCCTGGGGCTCCAGACCCTGTCGAAACAAGCAAATATGCAGCCCCTCAGCCTGGCTGAAGACTCCCTGCGGAGCTCACCTTGTCGTACATCCGGTTCAGCAGTCGTGGGACCACAGGGAAGATGGTGGGGCATAGAGCCTTCATGTCATCTGAGAGGAGGCGGATGTCTCCCTGGAAGAAGCCAACACGCCCTCCGTGGCAATAGACGACAGACTGGAAGGACAGGACAGGAAGGGAGGAGTCCCTTAGGGTGGTCACTACTGGCTATAGTCCAAAGCTGTCCAAAGTGCTGCCCTACATGGAGGGCACCCATGACCCCCTGACCCAGCTCTGGCCACTGCCATGAGACACTGAAGAATGCTATCTGAGGTGACCCCCACCCCCTACCTTCCAACTAAGTCCCACTCAGGCACAGGGAGATGAAGCAGAAGATGGAGAGGAATCCTGAGCCTCTGGGAGATGCCAAAGCAGCCATTCTCACTGGTATGTGCCCCCTCACCTACTCCCAAACCCTGGGCATGGGCCTCCCTGGGGACTCAGGTCTTTGAGATGAACTACAGCCTACTAATGGGTCTGCTCTAGGTCTTAGAGTTGTTGGATTTCTCCAGGGAATTCTGGGAAGGTGAATGTGTGTAGGTCCCATGAGTACTGGAGATGCTGCTGAAGTTGGCTGTGTGTGCTGTTTAGTGGGAGGCCAAGGGGGAGCCCCTGAGTGGTTCCTAATGGGACTAGGAGCATGCCAGGAGCCTTATATATACCCCTTTCTTTAATGCTCATAACAACCCTATAAGGGAAGTGGCATTTCTACAGGTGAGGAACACAAAGCTCAGAGAGGTTACATGACTTGCCCAGGGTCACAAAACTAATTTACAGTAATTGCTGGCATTGAATCCAGGTCTGGAAAGCCGGAAAGCATGCTCTCCAGATGCCAGGGCCTTACCTGCACTATTATATAAGATCTCTTCCAAGGCAAAATGGGAAAGTCCTAGAAGACACAGTTTTTTCATACGCTGGTCCCTTGAGTGACACATATATGGAGAATTCCTTGTCTCCACAATCTCATATGGATTCCTCCTCCCGCTCCCTCTGTACTTCCACAAGGCCTGTCTCAGGGCCAGCCTCAGGTCAGTCCCCATCTGCAGCCTGAGGAGCCATGCCAGTTTCATTCCCCAACTTTACTCTATTGTTTTCTCTTTTAGGAGTCTGTGAATTGTAAAAGTTATGGAACATAAGTGTTTTGGTCATAAATGGAGCTGTACTGCACAGAGCTTGAATGGTAAAGCACTTCTGCAAAGCTGCAATGCTCTCTGAGAAGATGCTATCAGCTGGGGTGTCTCTCAGCTGAGTGTGTCCATGGGTAAGACAGGGCAGGCCTGGGGGCTTTCCTGGAACAATGCTCCCAGGAGGGACAGGTGGGGTGGCTAAGGTCCTCTGAGCCCTCTGACCCCTATGGTACCTTCTGAGGACAGGGCAGTTTGGTCCTACTTCATGCCACCAGTGACAAGTGACACCCACTAGGGTCATGGGTTCTAGGCACAGAGTGTGCCTCCCTGATGCCAGGGCCTTACCTGCACCATTCGCTCAAACATGTGTGCTAAAGGCAAATAGGAAATGTGCACATCCGCACAAGTGGGAGCCCACTGACTCTGTAAGAAAAAAGAAGGAGCCCAGGCAAGGCCCCGTCAGTCAGGTGGGCGTCTTACCTGGATTACTCTCTCAAACATGTGAGCCAGAGGCAGGAAGGAGATGAGCACATCGTCCTGTCTCGGAAAGATCACTTTCTGCAGGCGACGGGCATGGGAGACAGAAAGGAAAGAAACACTGACAGGAAGACGACAAGAGAATCATAAAACAATAAAGAGAAAATGGTCCTGGAGGGCAAACAGGAAGAGAGGGAGGGGAATGGGAGTGGTGAGGACAGAGAGAGGTGAGATGAAAGAGAGAAGAAATGAGAGAGAGAGGGAAAGAGAGAGGGAGGGGGAAGCTGCAGAAAGAAGAGAGACAGAGAGACAGGGCAGCATAGGAAGCGGAGTATTAGGTCGCAGCGTCAGTGGGTCTAGGTTATCTGCAGAAGCAAAGAGCCAAATGAAGCACACAGAAACCAGCAGAATGGGCTCCGCAGGGAAGTCTCCTCTTAGAGGGCCTGCCCCTCACTTGCAGTCAGTCGATGCCAGCCCGGCTCTCTCCCCTTCCTCTCCACACCTGCAGGACCTGCCCCACACCCCATTTCTCCAGGCTCCCTGAGCCACCTGGGCAGGGATTCAGAAGGTCTTGGCTAGTCAGCACTTTCTAGTCCTTGCAGAGAAAGGGGCCCAGAGACTCCCAAGTCTATGCAACTGTGGCTGGGGTACAAGCCCCAGCCAGAGGAGGAGACAAGGCCAAACCCCAAACGGTGGCTGAGCCTGGCCTCACAAGCCATCCCTGGAGCCAGGGCCTTAAAGGAGAATACTGACAGGGAGCCCTGCTGTGCCCCGCCAGCAAAGGGAGGGCCCAGGACACATCTCACAGATGGGACTGACCCTAGGGACAGGGGCTACTCCAGCCAGGAGAGCCCTGTACAAGGTTTGGGATCCGGGTGGGCTGTGCCTCCAGGCACTCTCCTCTGCTGGACTTCCCTGCTCTCCACCCCTTTGCAGAGGCCTTCACTCTCCTGTGCTGGCTTTTGGGCCAGCTTGGGCAAACCTTGCTCCTGACCTGGGCTCAGCCAGCAACTGTCTCTCACAGTTTTCTACTAAAATAAATTGTCTTTCACAGTTTTCTACTAAGTGTTTGGGGCACACACTCCATAATGTCATCTGCCATGAACGTGGAGAGTGACTTTCTCCACAGCGGAGAAAAAGCCAAAGTTTTTTGAAAAGGTACACTCCTTTATGCTGAAGGAAACTGCAGGACATACTCACCACTTGTGGGAAAAGTCCTCCTTTGTTAGCCAGTTATAAAATGCTAACATGTTTTAGTCAGGCCAAGATATCAAAGCTTTTTTAATTTTAGATTTACCTTTAAGTACAGCCTTATAAATTAGCAGTTGCCGTTGTTTCTCAGACTCTAGTAGTCCTTAAACACAAAATGACTGAATTAAACCCTGACCTTCGAAAAACAAGTTATTAAGGATTACTTTCTAAATAAAGGTACACACAAAACCATAGCTATATCAATTTTCTAAGTTCTTTGAAGTTAGAAAGGAAAAATAGGTTTGCATGCTTTTCTTTCTGGGATCTTAGTACTCCCAGAAATCAACTGAATATTTATCATATATGGATCATTTCAGTATTTGGAGTGAAAAGTGATGGTAAAAGTGGGGTTGCTCTAATAAGAACAGAAACTCCTGCCTGTGAATGGCAGCCCAGATTACATCACGAAAAAAATAAAAAGAAAACAAACAAGAAAAAAAAATTCTCTGAGGCTTGAGGTTGTCCTCAAGAGACACCTGCAACAGTAATTCTACTTTATTCACCTCTGTCACTTTCAGAAAGCCTGAGAAATCAGCCACCACGTTCCCATGGGTGAGCATCGCACCTTTTGGGTTCCCTATAAAAAGAAAGCAAGAAGTCAAATTAGTTGGAAACTCAAGGGCCACTTCTTGAAAACAGTGCCCAAGTTGGCAGTCCCAGACACCCAGGCTGTCCACCCAAGCCTCTGGCCTTTGTCTTCAGCCACCTTTAGACTTACAGGCAGATGAATGCTGCTTCAGGGCCTGCCATCCTATAGACATAGCCTACCATTAGGCTCCCAGCAGCATGGGACCAGGAGGCAGGTGACATGGCTGCACAGGTGGGGTGCCTCAAGGCCTGAAGGGTGAACTGCTTGTGGTCTGTGCCTTATCCTCTCCGGTCTCCCTTCAGGAGGAGAGGCTCTCAGCCCCCAGTCCCCTTACGTACAGCAAGGGCTCTGTACTACTCCCTGGGCCTGAGCGGGGCTGATCTCCTGAGTCCAGCAGCCAACTCTGATGGCAGAGGACTTCTCTGCTGCATTTGGCACCTGGAAAGGCCCCAGGCTCAGGCCAGGCTGGAGATCCAGAGGGCTGGGCAGCCCTTCCTGCCTGCTCCTTGGCAGAAATGGGACACAAATAGTCTTGCTTTGTTTTGATATGACCTTTCACTACTGCTCGTGAGGCCTGGTTCTCTGGGCCCTTGAGGAAGCCAGGGACTGCTAGGATGACTCAGAGGATAGAAGTGGCTAGGGATCCCAGGCACAGAAGGCTGGGAAGGGTGGCCAGCTTGGCCACCATTTCCTGTCAGAGTGGATACAATCCCAAAGTTCTTGCTGGACAGATCTGACAGGGCTTAAATCCTAGCCTTGCCACTCACTGCCAGCATAACACTGGCAAGCCACTGTTCCTCTCTGTTTCCTTACCTATAAGATAGGGACAGTAATGCCCACCTCACAGGCTTCTATAAGATCTAAAGATATAATCTAGGTATGAAAGATGTTAAATTAGTTTCCACTGAGGCAGCCAAAGATGTTAAATCAGATGTTTCCACTGAGGCAGCAGATACAATAGCTGCAAAACACGAAAGTGAGGGGCCAGACTACATGCAGAATCTACCCAGGAAACATCAAATAAGCCAACATGTTAACTTTGCAACCCTCACCCTGAATGAGGCAATAAAAGGGCTGAGTAGAGACTAAGAGAGTGTTGTACTCAATGCCCCTGAATTGCTCACTTTAAAATGGTTGATTTTATGCTATGTGAAATTTGCCTCAAAGAGAGGGTGGGGGGAGAGACAGACCGACAGAGAGAGAGAGAGAGAGAATTTTTTTATCTTTGGAGACAGCTACACTGAGTCATAGCCCATCAAAAGGGGAGGAATGAAGGGTCCTCTCTCCCAATCCCAACCTAACACCCAGGCTAACTCAGTCCCTAATGGGACCACTTGAAGTGCCTGATTGTGCTCCCTGCAGCTGGGGGGCCAATGAGAAAGATGAAGAAGACTGTGGTTGTAAAAATAAAAAAAAAAAAAATAATCCCAGGGAGTCTGGATATGGAGTCTACAGAAGGAACACCGGTCTCAGAGAGCAGTGGTGGGAATGGTGGGGTGCAATAAGTCTTATCCACGAGACCAGTTTGCCAGAGCAAAAGGACCATCGCCCATAAGGGGAGACAATCAAGAGTACACCAGAGGCAGAAGCTGAAGTGGAGAAGGCAGCAGACAACCCAAGGAAGGGCACTGCCTAGATCAAGAGTGCTCATGAAGGCAGCCATCAAGCAGAGGGAGTTTTAGATATTTGCCCAAAACCATCTTTCAACTTTCATATTCCACTTATTTATTCTCCTATCCCACTTCAAACCTGGTAAGAGAGGGCAGAAACCTCTGTTAGCAAGCTGGGGGAGAAGGAAAAACATCAGAGAGGAACAGAGGAGAGGAGGACCGTGCCCTCCTTACCAAGACTGCAGCCAGCCCTCGCTTGGGAGAGGAAGGAGTCTCCGTGAAGTGTACTGATTCCTATTTTGGACTGACACTTGTAATTCTGAATTAAGACTGTGTTTGTGACTTGCAATGTCCATAGGACTTTTTATTACCTGAGAGCGACCAGAAAAGGCACAAGATGCCTGAGTTTTTGCCCAGGAGCAGAAAAAGACCTACCCCCGCGGCACAAATTTAAAGGCACGAATGGAGATAAAAATAAAGTTGTTCTCATAATTATGTCCCAGGAGGCCTACTTGTTCAACTTACTGGTGACCCATTTGTCAGAGATAAGAGCATCAGGCATGGCCCAATCTTTGAATTCAAGAGACAAGACGCATCTGTTTGACTGAAATGTATGGTGGATGGGATTTTAACCTATGCTCCGGCACTTCCACCCATATTGCAAATCACAGAGGTGATTCTGGGGACACAGAAGATTATGACATGATTTAAAAAGTTACATTTCTCTAATAAATAGCTGTCAAAATATCTTCCTTTTGAAAAGAAAAAGTGCCATAGGGTCTAATTTTATCTCTGCCTATCCTTCTTTCATACTAATATCTTTCCTCAAACCCAGGCCCAGATTAAGAAATATCCAAGTTGTCTCATATACAAATCCCACAGAGTACCTGGGCCCATAGAGTATTATGAGTGTCACCTAGTAATTTCTTCCCATTGACTCTTAGGATCTGGAAGTTTCTAAGGAATATCTCCCAAACACTAGGTATGAAATCAGAAGTGTCATGAAATAGAGTTCTGTGTTACAGAGCTTTGGATTTCCAAGGTTGGCTGACTTGTTCATGCTTGATAGAACTCAGGGTGAATGGTGTAAGAATCTCAAGGGAAAACTGTCTTCATTGATTAAAAAAAAAAAAATTCTAAAGCCTCCATTCAGTTCAAGCCAAAACACATACAACAGCAGTAGTTATTCAACTCCACTTGGTTAGATAAGCCCTTTTCTTCTCCAACATGATGAGAAAAGTTCATGTCCTTTAGTTTTCTTGTGGATATGAATGCCATTTTATACATGTCTAATGGCCTATAGAATTTTAAAACATTCCCAGACATGCCCAAATTATTTCTTTAAGTTGTCTCTACGTGTGGTCCCAAAGGATGAAGAAGAAGTGAATGTTGGCAACAAATTGTGGGGAAGACTGAAAGGTTGCAGAATCAAATTGCAGAATTTTCCCTGGTTTTCTCTTTTTCTGGTGCAATGTCAGTAAGAGATGCTGGCTATCCAGGCCACCAATGTCTCAGCAGTATGAGACCCACTGTATTTCCCATCATCCCCTCATAAGCTGACCATTCTTGTGCTTAATTTTCTCTCTAGCCACTGAAGAAAAACTCTCCAAGTGTTAGATTCTGCCAATGACATTTTGGCTTTGGTCAGTGTTCCTGGGCAGGCCTCCCATGGCTATTATGTAGAAAAGAATTTTGCTGGGTGACGATCTGCCCTGGTTGGATGTTGGCTCCAAGTGACAGCAGCTGCAGATAGAGTTGAGCTCAAGGTTTCTCCTGCAGGGGTGGAAGTGGGTTTGGGGACAGTTCTGGGCCACCCAGCTGGGGGATTCTGGCTGCTTGTTTCTGCTTTTAAATAGTCAAAGGTGGGTTATAATAGTTACTGGTGACTGAAATTCTCTGGAAGTTTCATAATGCAGGTAGAGTGTTCATCTTCCTGCTAAAGGCTCTCAAATCTTTAGGTCTGAGTCTTACTTTTATCAATCCCATATCCATCAATTTTTTAAAAATCAGACTTGAGGGCTAGTAAGAATAGAAATAATAACTATAATAGTAGCCAAGTGTTCAACACCCACTAATGTTGGCACTGTGCTGGGCACTTCATACATGGTAAATCAGTTATTTCTTGAAACAACTCTATGCAGTAAGTTAAGTATATTCATCTAATACCCAAGAAAACAAGCTTAAGAGAGATTAAGTAATTCTATAGCTGTATAGTAGGAGTGCTGAGATGTAATTTTATGTCTACATTCATACAGGTCTTGAACCAAATAGCACAAAATGAATAGGTCATGGTGAACATTTTCCCCAGAAAGCCCACCTCTGAGTAGCCACAGTTCTGGGGCTGATGGGCATTTACATGCTCAGCTAAATGACTGCAGATGCCTGGGCTTTCATGGGCATCCTCAGTTAGAACAGAAGGGATGCCCCAATTTGAATGGCCTCCACCCCCTCAGCCTCCCAGGCCCATAGCCAGTGCTTAGAATTGATCCCTCATGCTTTGAGACACTTTCATATGACTCCAGACCTGTGGCACCTCCCCTCCTATCTTCCCTCTCATCCCTGCCTCCCTTCCTCCCACGCTGACTCCCGTGTGCCTCCCTTCAGGCACTCTCCCATCAAGTGCTTCAGCTCTTGGGGCTCCGCAAGGATCCCATTCTGAAAACCCCACCAAGCCAATCCAGCTGCCAACCTTCCCGCTCCCTCCACAGCACAGTCCCTGAGGCTCATAGCCTCTGTCCCAGAGGGGCTCTCTTCCCAGAAACTGTCAACACATGCCCCCTTTAGACTCCTCTCACCCTCAGCCAGGACTCTGACTCCCACTCCACAAAGGAGGCAGAAGCTGTCAGAGGATTCCCCACATCTTCCTGGCCTCCCAGACTCTGCTCTTACCCTTTCCTTCCTAGCAGGGCCATCTCCTCCCTGGTGCTTGGAGGCCTCCTCTCTCCCTAACCCACACTAAAGCTTCGGGGGCTTTGGTGCTTGAGCATCCTCTTCCTTTCCTCTGTCTCCAGTGGCCCCTTCTCAGCCATAAGAAACAATTTCAGAATCTCCAGAAGAGCAACAAACCTCCCCCAAAGCCCTTGACTCCACCAGCTGCCAATCTCACTCTCTGCCATATCTTCATAGTCAACTATTAAAAAAAAAAACCCACCAACCTTCTCCTCAAGTATAACACACACATGGACAAGTGCCCAAATAAGTGTAAAGGTCAATGGAGTTTTCCAAAGTGAACTTGGCTGTACAACCAGCACCCAGATCAAGACATAGAACATCACCAGTGTCCCAGAGGCTCCCGTATCACCCTTCCAGGGTGCCATTATCCCAGAAGACATCCCCTATCCTGATTTGTAAAACCACAGGGTAATTTATGATGTTTTATAATTTTATATGAAAGAAATCATACAATCTTTTGTGCCTGGTTTCTTTTGCTCAACATTGTGACATAATGTTCTACTGTAAGCAAATAAGCATTTGAATTATTTCCAGATTTTGACTGTTACAAATAGTGTTGCTATGAACATGATGGAGCATGCCTTTTGGTGGCATGGCCAAGCTTCTTGAAAGAAGTGCACACATGCTTGTACTGAATCAACATCTTTACTTTCCATTCACTCCTCAGTCCACAGCAACCAGGTCCTCCACCCCATGCCCCAGGACCACTCTTTTTTTTTTTTTTTTTTTTTGAGATGGAGTCTCGCTCTGTTGTCCAGACTGAAGTGAAGTGGCACAATTTCGGCTCAATGCAACCTCCGCCTCCCGGGTTCAAGCGATTCTCCTGCCTCTGCTCCCGGGTAGCTGGGACTACAGGTGCCCGCCACCACACTCAGCTAATTTTTTGTATTTTCAGTACAGATGAGGTTTCACCATGTTAGTCAGGATGGGCTCGATCTCCTGACCTCGTGATCCAGCCACCTCGGCCTCCCAAAGTGCTAGGAGGACCAACCTTTGTCAAGAGCACCAGCAGGTCATTTCATGGTGACATCCTCCAGTTACAACTTAGCCACAAATGATGCTGACAGATCCTGTTCTCCTCTAGCTTCTCCAACCCCTCCTGCCTGACCTCTATTGGGAACTCCTGTCCCATCATCTCCCTCATGCTCGTGCCCTCAAGCCCTGCCTGGGGCCCTCTCTTTTCCTCTCAAAACTCCCTCAAAGCAGCGTGTTCTGTGCTACCACAATGCCTCCGCACATGCTCTTTCTCCTGCCGGGAATGCCCTTCCCTGGCTTCTACAGCTACCGATCCTTCAGGACTCTGCTTAGACTGACTTCCTCTGAAAATCCTTTCTGTCCTGCTGTACTGACCTCTCGGTGGCCGGGTACCCCATGCAGCAGGGATGCAGACCTCAAGGCAGTGACCACACCATATTGTAACTGCCTGATGACACAAGCTGGGAGTTCATGGGTGCAAACCTATGTCTTCTTCATCCCTATGCCCTCGGCCCCTAATGCTAGGTCTGATGCATAGTGGGTACTCACAAAAATGAGCTGAATGAATAAATATAGATGAATTCGAAAAAGACTGCTAAAAACACATAGACTGGAAGTTATGTTTTTAAAAAACACTGTATTTTCTTTGCTGTGAAGACAAGGTATATGAGCTCACAAGGATAAAACATCCTAACTATCATTCAAGGGACCCAATTTCCCAAACTGGGCTGTGCTACACCCACATATTGTCTTTTTTTCAGATGTGGGAGTGGGTTCAGATTCCAGTTCAGCTAACAGTTATTTTGAAATGAATAGCAAACCACATGCCCACCCCTCAGCCATCACTGGGTACAGGCAGACCACAAGCTCTCACCACCTCCCAGACCTTCTTGGCCTGAATAGGGACTTCAAAGTACTGACTTATTCTAGGAATCTCCACAGATTTTTCCACCGCATGCCAAGAAGGAAATCTTCCTGGAATGATTCCACCAGAATCATGGGCCAAGTGTCAGGTTCAGATTGTATTTTCCATCTTTCCCCACAAAAAGAACAATGTGGTCCTTGATAAGGCTGGGAGCCAGGACATTTAGCTTACATTTAAGGGAAGCTGTATCTGGGCTGTGACGCTGAGGACACAACAAGGCTGATGTGCCCGACAAGAGGATGAGTACAAGAGGCACAGCACGGGCTTAGCCTAAAACCAAGGAAATCCAAGTGCACAGCCAGGTGGGGTGATATCAGGCCAGAGCCCTGCTCACTCCCCCAGCTCTGCCCAGGCACCAGCCATAGCTTTGGAGTGGGAGGTCTGGGAAAGTAAGTCATAGCCTGTGTTTCGAGGCCCACACATTCTGCTTCCGCCACACAGAGCTTGAGCAGGATGGCTTAGCTTCCTACAGTCTGGAAAAGCACTGGACAGGATGTCTGTCCTCCCCAGCCAGGCAATAGCACATTTCTGCATCATGAAGTTTTTCTCCAGATCCAAGGGCAATGTTTATGACCAAGTGACCTGTTAAAAGCCTGAAGGCACACTTTGAAGGCAGGTCCAAAGGTAAGGCCATAGCAGTGACCTGCTCTCCAAAACCATGTCAGCAAAAATTCACATTGTAAAACTCAAGACAAAAAGACATTGAAAGTGCTCTTTAAAAAGCAACATAAACCTGAAGGGCATTTCTGAATTCTGGGTTGGCTCTGGATGTCAGCCTGTGGAGAGGAAGGGCTGTGTTGTTATTTTTCTGACAGAGTTTAGTAGAATATGGTGGAAATCCTTGAACCCATATGACTTAATGGTAAAAATGGATATTCAATAAAGCGTTATTTATCATGATCCACTGACATGAATAATCCTGGTTATAGGGCTGGTCACAGATCTGCCAAATGCCTTAGAGGCTGCATCTGCAGAAGGCATGCAGCGCCCCAGGTCACTGCCCACTGAGAGCTGCCATCAAGATGGGCCAATCCTCAGTTTGGAATAAGAAGGCTGGAGACTTCCTGCCCATTCAGGGCAAGGCAAGTGACATCCACGTCATCAAATGAGATGGAAAGGCAGCACTGGGAAGGGCCCTGGCCTGGGAATTATGAGAACAGGGCACAAGTCTTGGTGCTTCTACTTGCTGATGGTGTCCCCTTGGAGCAAGCAGGCTTGGTGACAATCCTGCTCACCTCACAGGCTGTGCTGAGGCCCCAGTGGTGCAGAGAGAGGGTGGACAGCATGCTACAGAAATGCCTGTGCTGTGTCCTCTTGCACATTCTGCCTCCCCCAGGAAGCCTTCCTTGATTATTCCTGCCACTGTTGATGTGTGTTCTCCTCTGTCAACTCCAAGCACAGAGGGTGTCATTTCTGCTTGTGTGCTTTGCCTGACAGCCTTGCTCATGGCACACCAGCTCCAGCCTGTGGAGCATCTGTATTATCCTTGCACACACTCCCCCATCTCCCACTTGGCACCTTTAGCCACCCTCATGGCAGATGAGAAATTGGGGATACTGGTGGCAGAGAAGTTAAATGACTGGCTCACAGTCCCCCAGCAAGTGGTGGAGGTAGGACTCAAACCAAGGCTCTCAGACGCCAAATCTCACACTCTCTCCCCAGTCCCCAACACAAAGGCCAGGTAGAGGCAGAAAGCAGGGGAGTGAGAGCTGTTTCCCAGACAGAAATGACCCCAGTGAGAAAGGACCTCCCTCAGCACATGATCCAGCTGCCCATGACTCTGCTGACTCAGCTCTGGGAGGTGCCAAGCTCTCACACTAGACGTCCCAATGCACACTGTCCATCTGCATCTGGCCACTCTTATGCTGGGCACTGGGAGGTGCAGGAGGGACCCAGTGTCTGGAGCCAGGCACCAGACAAGGCTCAGCCCATTTCAAACAGGGCATCAAAGACTCCAGCAGTCACCTGCTAGGCCACCAGGGAAGGGTGCAGGTAGCCGTGGCTGGGAATCTGTGTGCCTCTGCTTACCTGTTGTGCCGCTTGTGAAACACACAATGGAGAGGTCATCAGGCTGTGGGGGCTGCAGGGGTGAGAAGAGGAGTGTGTTAGGGAGACCCAGTGTGGCCAGCCAGGGCCCAAGATGCCTGAGCTCCCCCACCAGCCAGGCCCACGTGTATGCTGTATGTGGGTGTGAGCATGTGTTGGGCACGCCTGCATGCTCCTGTGTGCTGCACTCAGAAAGGTGGGCAGGTGAGCGCTCAGGAAAAAGAAAAAGAAGCTAAGGAAACCTAACTGGGGTGTGAACACTAATCTGTCCCACCAACTTCATATCTGGTCCCACTGCCTCCCCTACTTGAGTCTGGGCTGAATTATCCTAGGTGGGATTGGGTTGCAGTGGCCACATCTCAGTCTCTGTCAAAGCTCTGACCTTTCTAGTGGATGTGACCCAGTTTCCTCCCTCCTTCCCATGTTCTCCCAAGTATCTGGGGTTAAGTTTGGGAGCATGTGTGGCTCGGTCACTGAGCTGCTCACTGTGTCACCAAGGCTGCTCTGCATCAGCCCTTGCCCTGGCACTGGGCACACAGTCTGGGGTCACCAGAAGGAGCCCACCAAGTCTGATTGCATGTAGAGGATAGTTTCCCAGAGGAGGTGACAGTTGAGATGGAAGGGCAAGCAAGATTTCTCCAGATGAAGTGTGGGTGGGTGTTTTGGGGAGAGGAACCAGCCTGGGCACAGGCAGAGGCACAAGAGACAAAGGGTGCTGAGGGATGGGAGAGTGGTTCTCTAAGACTGAGCCCTGATGTGTGGGAGATGGGCAAACACCAGGGGCTACCCATGCAGTGCCCTGGGAAGCCGGGGGTGACCTGCTCAGGCCTGTGTGAAGGGAGAGGGAAGGACTGAGCTGGAGGGAGGCCTGGAGGCCAGATGGCTTTTAGAAAGTTGAAAACCCCCACATGGCCCATCCCAGGGGCAGCTGTCCTCACTGGGGCTCAACCCCAGGAAGTATCACATGGGAATGACACACAGAAAAGTTCACAAAGCAAAGATGAACAAAGACAGCAGATGCCACAAGGCCATTTGGCACAAGAGTCCATTTCTGGTTCTGTTGCTGCTTCTGTCTACTGCATCTTCTGCAGAGTTTGCCATATTCATAGGGAGAAAATGAGACTTCCCAAATAAGTTACTTGAAGAACCAAGGGTGGCCACGATTGGCAGCTCTTTTTTCTCCCTCCCAAATACCTGACTCCTGTTCCAGGTCCTTCCCTGGGTCCTTGGCCCACAGAAGTCCTGGACACCCAAGTGGGCATTTCCTGGCTTGCACACAGGAGTTTCTTATTAACACAGAGGTGCTGGTCTGTGCACAGTGAGAGACTCTGGAAGGACAAGCCCTGCACACCATCTTACTCAGTAAAGACCTGAAGGCGGATTAGCTTACCACAGGAGCATGGTGATTCTCTTGGCCACAGTCCTGAAAGAAGAAAATGTTGTTTTTAAATGCTCAAAATTTCTCTCTCTCTCTCTCTCTCTCTCTCTCTCTCTCTCTGTCCCTCTGTCTGTCTCTGTCTCTCTCTGTCACACACACATACACCACACACACACACACACACAAAATCAGAATAAACAGCTCAGTAGGCCTCACTCCTGCATCAAGCCCAGAGTTTAAGATTCCAAAGAGGTCACTGAGGTGGTCATGGCAGACACGACCTCAGTGGCCTCTTCTCAGACAGACGTCTAAGCCTGAGGCTCCTCGGAGACAGGGAGGGTGACTAGAGGTTCTAGGCCACCCCACACATTACAGACAGGGAGCCTGAGCCCCAGGGAGAGGCTAAGCAGTGTGCACATGCCAACTGTGTGATGGCAATCCAGGTGTGAGCATGTTGGGCTTAAAGTGCTCTTGGCACAGCTGGGCACATGCTCAGGATGCAGCAGCTGGGTGGACTAGGCTTCTGGATGAGCAGTCAGTGCTGGTGGGGCAGGTGGGGGCTACCAGTGTAGGTCAGCTGCCAGTGCCAGGGAGGGGTACAATGCATAGGCATTACCAGTACAGTGGGGAGCACACAGGGAGGCAGGAGGAAAAGGAGGGCCTGGGGCCTAGATCCAGTAGGGCATAGTGGGGGGTCAGCGGCTGCTGGGCAGGGCCTGAGGCCTTGGAGGCCAGAATGTCCTGTGTCACCCCAGCAGACCACAAACTGCCACCAACCTGATGTCTCTGGGGAGGCCAGGCACAGAAACATCCGTTCTGCTGGCCGCTGGGGGTCTGGATCACGGTTGCAAGAACCTCTCCCAGACTCCTGGACCTACGTCTCTAGTCCTCAGACGCAGACAGGCTAAGGCTAGCTGGAAATGAGGAAGCTCCAGAGGCTGCGTGAGTACCTCTGAGGTAAGCTGGCAGCACAGTCCACCAGTCAGCGCGTAGTGCGAGGCTGGATTAACTGATCCAGCCACAGAGCCTATCACCCAGAGGATGCCTGTGGGCACCAACCCCACCACCCACCACCAGCCCTTGCAAAGCCTGCCCTGTCTGGACACTGATATACCCTGGGGGCCCAAAACAGCCACCCCAGGGCATGAGAGGGACAGATAACCAGAAGTTCTGACTTGGTGACCAGCCAGCGGTAGCCCAGCAAACCGCCCAGAAGCAGACCCTCACCTCCACGGCCTGCATGGACTTAATGACCACCCCGCACTTCTGCCCTCTCTCTTTCAGGGCTTCTTCAAATGGGTCCATGAGGATAATCAGCTTGAGGCCTGGAGTCTCCTTCCTCTCCACATGCTCTAGCAGAAGCACAGCCTTCTGAGGTTTGTCCACAATCACGGTGCTGATGTCCGCTGCAGGGGGCCATCAAGGAGCGTCAGACCATGTGGGCCCAGGCCATGAGTGCAGGCAGCATGTGCCAGGCAGCACTTCCATGGGCTGTGTGCCCATAGCTTATGTGTAAACAAATACATAAGACAGGCCTCACGTACAGAGGAATGTGCCATGGGCCCTAGGCGGAACCAAGGGCAGAAGGCCAGGGAACCTCTTCAAGCAGATTCCAAGCTTCCCTTTGTTCCAGGTTCTGCCCCCATCATCCCAGGTCTGCTTGAGATATTTACCACCCCCTGCATCTGTGCAAAGCTGTCATGAACTTCAGAGGGTTGTACCCTGTGTGGAGGGTGCTGCAGAGGTTCCTTCTTGGCAGCTGAGCCCTGTGGAAGGAACCTACAGGTGAAGTCTGACTGGGGACAGCTTGACTCAGGAAGCCAACTCAGGACCCACAGTGTAAGCCCCTAGTATTTTTTGAGAGCAAAGTGCCTCTTACAAGTGTCAGACAATCAGCATAACCTGAGAAACTGGAGGCTGCCAGTGGCAGGGTGGGGTGGCAGTGGGCTTACCTGTATTGATGATGTAGCGGATAGCTCCAGGGCCCAGGGTGTCATAGAGCGGGACCACCACCATGGAATATGTGTAGCAGGCCAGCTCCGCAATGATCCACTATGGAGACACACAAGGCAGCGGGTGGGGAAAGAGGGAAGATTAGAGGGCTGTCCTGCCCTTAGGCCCAGGTAACCAGGGTCCCTGCTCTAAGCCCTATGCCTGTGGCAAGGAATCCATGAGGTTAATGGGTTGTGTCTGCTTACCCACAGCCTTGTGGATCAGGTCTGTCCCAGGGAATTCTGTAACTCCCGGATTTCATGTCCAAACTGCCCCAAGGACAGCTCCACAGCCCGCATGAGCCTATTCCTCACGTCTTTCCTCCCCACTGGCTCAAGGGGCAGCTGTTGGTAGAGCTGGGTGGGGTGTGGATGGAGCGTGACTGGGGTGGCCAGTGCTGATGAGGGGTAGAGCCAGGGTGGGAAGAGGAGTGGTGGCAGAGCCCAAGGGTCTCTGTTTTTTCTTTTGTCCTGGGCCCTACAAACAGTGAAAGCAGGACTATTCCATGGTAGCCAAGCCCTACCCCACGAATCCCTCTAAACCAGTCAAGGTGGATGCTCACCTCTGGCCGATTTTGTGCAAAAACACCAATAAACTGATCGGTGCATGCTTTACAATTGTGCTGGAGAAGTCCAGACCCCAGAAATTCAGCCCGGTCGGCCACCTGCACACAGATGTGGGGAAGTGATGAGAAAACAAGGACTCTTCAACAGGGGAAGGAGATCCCCAGGAGGCATTCTTTTTTTTTTTTTTTGAAATGGAGTCTCGATCTGTCACCCAGGCTGGAGTGCAATGGCACAATCTCTGCTCACAGCAACCTCTGCCTCCCGGGTTCAAGCAATTCTCCTGTCTCAGCCTCCTGAGTAGCTGGGATTACAGGTGCATGCCATCGCACCTGGCTAATTTTTCATATTTTAGTAGATACAGGGTTTCACTGCATTGCCCAGGCTGGTCTCAAACTCCTGAGCTCAGGCAATCCACCCGCCTTGGCCTCCCAAAGTGCTAGGATTATAGGCATGGACCACCACGCCCAGCCAGGATTCTTATAGATCTGAGGGACCTTCCTGACTCCCAACCCAGGTATGCTGGAAGTCCTTCAAGGCTGTTGCCAGGAGTTTGGCAGACAGGCCAGGGAAATAAATGACCCTCCGAGACCCAGCATGTGCCCGCATCCCTCCCTAACCGCCCTGAGTGCCAGATCTGTATGGGTGGCCAGGGTGGGGCCTGTCCTCTATCACTCACCTCCTGGTAGGACAGCCACTGGTAAGGCTGGTTGGGCTTCCTGAAACCAAGACAGGGCCCATTCCCTGCAGAGAGATAAGAAAGCCTTGTGCCAGGGAGGGGTCAGAGTGGATGTGCCACCTGCATCCGCCCATCAGAAACCTGGATGGACATCCCATACTGTAGTGTGTCCATGGGCCAAGTGAACTTCCCTCCTGCACTGCCAGCTACCTGTCTAATCTGCTGAAGCCCAAGAGGGCCCAAAGCACACAAGTATGGCATCACCCCAGGGATCAGGGAGGTCTGAAATGGGGAATGATGCAGTGCCCAGTCCCCACCATAACTTGTGTGGTGATCCCTGTTACAGACCCAAAGGATACAGACACCTGGGGGCCACTGGGAAGAGGTGGTAGGCTGCCTCTCTTTGCCTCTTACCCTGAGAGCACCCAGACATCTCAGAGGTTCAGGTTCAGAACCATGCCAGCCAGTGGCCTGACAGCTCAAGGCTCCCCAAGAGTATAGAGTGTGGGCCAAGAGATAGCCTAAGGTCAAGCTGTCCCAAGGGCTGGAACAAAGCTGAGGTCAGCCCTTTAGCCTGCTTCTCTGACTGGTAGGAGGAAGGCCAGGAGTAGCTTCTCTCCACTGAACCTGGGGATAGCTCACCGGCCACGTCCCTGGTATCATGCTTGTATACCCATCCTCGCACCCACTCAACCCCTGTCACATAGCCCCTCCACACCCCCACAACCCTTCTCACCTGAGATGCTAAGCCCACGGCGGAACACCTGGTACATGGTCCGGGCATCATCATAGTAGTGGGTAAGTAGCTGAGGGCCAGACCCAATCACAGATCGCCGTGCCCCGCCACTGTCCTACAAGCCAAGCACCGGCCAGAGAAGTTGGCTGAGGCAGGTAGGGGTGCCAGGAGAGGGCCGCAGCATGCACAAGGCTGTACACAGCTCAGATGTACAACCCGTGCATGCAGTTAGCATTGTGGCATCTGTGTGCCCACGTACACATGGACTACACACACCTGGACTGTACACACTCGATCTGCATGTAGCCACACTCCAACATAGTTGGCTCATGCATGAAGGCCGGGTATGCCAGTGTCCTCACATACAAACTCCACACACACATACAGCTTTCTCACAGCAGATCAGCATATACAGAATGTCCAGAGTTTTCAGTTACTGTTCATACACACCCATGGCTCATTCATACAACACAGTGGGGAGTATTGGCTGGATTCAGGAACAACCTGCCAAGGTATCTCCCATCCCATCACCTACTGCTATGCCCAAGTTAAGGATCAGTTGGGTGTGGTGTTAGCTAAGAAGGCTGCCACCCATCATTCACGTAATGATGTGAGTTAGAGGACTGTGCTGAAGGTTCTGTCCCAGACACAGAGGCCTAGGAGGCTAGGAAGGGAGGACAGGCTGAATTATGTTCATGTGCAATGAGGGAGGAGAGGCAGGCAGCAAGTTCCTGGGCCCAAAGAGGCACGGCTGCAGAGTGGGAAGGTGGCAAACCCCCTCGGTGCTGGTGAGTAGGGCGAAGAGCCAGCCTTTTCCTGCCTCCTCCCCTTCCACCCTGTCACCCCTCCCCAGGGGCGAGAGTTTCACAGCTCTCCAGTATCACAGCTCCACCTCTTCTTCAAGCACTATTTGAGCTACCCTGGGCTGGGCCAGAACCTGCCACCTCTTGGAACAGCAGGTCTAAGGAAAAAAACATCTGTGAGAAACAGAAAGCAAACAGCCAAACTCAAAACCACAGGGAGCTCCCGACTGTTTTGGAGCGGAAAGTTCTGCTTGGCCAGTGCTTTCAAGAACCAAGCCCACCTAAGACCTGCAAGAGAAGCTGGGACACATCCAATCAGACCCAGTTGGCACCTGGGCAACAGATATGGTACAAGGAGAGACTGTATGCCAGGGACAGAAGAGGCTCAACAACTGGGCATGTGTGTTAGCGAGCAGCTGCCAAGCTGGGCTTCGAAGGATGCACAGGGGTTGCCGGGCAGAGTGAGAAGGAGAGAACAGCAACCTGGGCATAGGCAGCATCACATGCAAATGCACCAGCAGGAGGCACAGGTGCGTTTGGGGAACAGTAGGCAATACATGGAGCTCCAGATGGCAATGATCGGGGAGGAGGCCAGAGAGGCTGCAGATCAAGGCAAAGAATATAGACTTGAGGTTGAGGGTAATGGGGAGCCAGGAGAGGATTTCAGGCCGGGGGGAGTGACATGATCTGAATTGTTTCTCACCACATAGCAGGCACAGTCAATGCTGCCAGGCCCTGTCTGATCTGGGCCCCTCTTGCCTCTCCCATCTCGTTTCCTACCACTGTCTCCTTTGCCTACTCTGGTGCAGCCACTCTGGCTTTCTGTGCTCCTGGGGGATGAGGCAATGGAGGGTGCAGTCATTCCAGGAAGGGAGGCATTAGCTTCATCCCATGTCCTGTCTTCCAGACCCACAAGGTGACTCACTCAGTGGCCCCACACATGAGCCAGGGTCATCCATCTCACCATTCTGACACCATCCAGACCACTGTCACCTCCAACCCAGGTGCCTGCAGCTGCTTACTTACGCTTGCCCCTGTCACACCCACCCTTCTATGGCACAAACTGGCCATGTATCTCCCTACTGAAAACCTCTAATAGCTCCACGCTGTTCCCCCTGCCGGTCCCTGCACAATCTGTCCTTGCTGACCTCTCCAGATGTGATATAATCACAAGCTTAACCAAAAACAGCTGTCCTTAGTGACTTCTCTGGGTCATCACACCCAATCTTTACCACACCTTAGAAAGCAGGTACTCTTTTTATTACACCCTTTACAACTGAGGGCCCTGAGGCTCAGAGAGTTAAGAAACTGCCCAGGGCCATACAACTCAGAGGCATAGCCAGGCTTCAAACCCAGGACTGCCAGTCACCAAAGGCCATTCTCCACAGCACTCGGCTGGCCCATCTCCAGCCCCTCTCCACTACCCAGCAGCCCACACAAAGCCCCCATGTGCTTCAGCACACACCTGCACCTTTGCACATACCATTCTTCTGCTGGAAAAATGCCCTGAAGATCCCAGCCCCTACCTCAACCTGCACTCTCCCCTACAAGGCAAAACATGCTTATGATAGCCAAGGTGCATTGTCAAGAGCAAAAGGCAAGGTGCACAACAGGGTATGTGGTGGATATGAGTAAAAACACAGTGAGTGTCTCTACACATCTGCTCATGGCCAGGACACAGCATTAGCAGGTTGTCTCAGGGAAAGAGAACTGGGAGAGCAGGAAAGAAGACAGAAGCTTTTCAGTACATTCCATTTGTTTCTTTTGGACTATGTGAATACATTATCTATTCCAAATGAACAGAATTAAAGAGGAGCAAATTTTTAAAAGGCAAAAATAAATTCCATAAACTTAATAATGAAACACACCTCACCAGTCCTTCCAGGCTTAGCCTAGAACACCCTTGTCCACTGGCCCCTGTATCATCTTCCCCTTGGTGGCACCATGTGTGAGTCCACGTGCTCAGGGAGAGCAGGGCCAGGGGTAGGCTGAATCCTGGGTCCCAGTACCAGACCGGGAGAGTTTGGGAGGGAATCTACCACGCAGCTCCTCATGAACCTGCTTAGGCTTCCTACTGCAATACCAATGAGCCAAGGCCCTCCTACCCGAGAAGCAGGCAAACCAGAGGCCCAGTGGAAGGCCCAGGTCAGGCTCTGCCCAGAGGCAGTTGCTGGGAGAGGCAGAAGGAGTGCCTGGTAAGAGACCCTGCCCAAGGCTGCTGCAGAGCTAGGTGACTGACTGCCAGGAGAGACAGAGCTTCTCTGGGCCATGTGAGGTCAAATAAGCCACAAGTCTGGTTTCAACTTCCAAGATGCCTGTCTTCTGCCCCCTACTTTCCGCAGTGGAACGTCTCCTACCCTGCTCACCTCTACTTCTTCTGACTGCATCAGGAGGTTGCATGGCGGCTGCAAGGCCTTTGGCCGGTGAGTGAACCAGTAGGCGAGGATGGCGGCCAGGGCACCCATACTCACGAGGGTGGTGGCCGAGAGGCTGCGGAAAAACTGGCCTAAGTCGCCTAGCTCAGGCAGTCGCAGTATCCTCAGGATCTCCTGTGTCTGCATCTTCTCCAGAAGTGAGAGGACAAACTCTGTTGAAAACAAGAGTCAGATGAGGCAAGAGACCTGACGGGCAGGTTAGGGAGGGGTCCTGGGTCACAGGACCTGGTATCTGGTCTGATACACCACAGGGCAGGCCCTGGGGGAGTTCGGATGTACAGAGTGCACTCCAGAAGCTGGCTACCTAGAAGGGCTTTTCCCAGGAAGAGGCCAGAACCTTCTGCCGTCACATATCCTGCCCAGTTTTCCTGAGAACCACACGCTCAGGCCCTGGGTCATGGCTGACAGCTGCTTCCATATTTTCCAGGACCACTGCTCTGGCAGCTCTGGGAATGATGTCCCCCGGGCCTCAGGGCCTGGGTGCTCTGTTCTCCTGTGTGACTGCTGTCGTAGCGTTTTACTTATCTTTGCTCCTGGGGTGTGGAGAAGAGGGAAGGGCAGTAGAAGTGCTCAGCACGGTGCCCAGGGGTGAAGGAATGCAGGCTCCTCCCACTCTACTTCTAATCTCCCAACTCCAGGCCATGACCCTGAGCGAGACTGAGACCGAAGCAGGGCAGGGCAGACTGCAGATCAGCCCTGACAAATACTCCAGCCCTCATGATGTGAAGGTGAAGACCTATCTGACTGTATGAGCACTATGGCTCTGCACTGTCCCTGACCGAGTACCAAGAGGACAGCTGGCCCCGCCATAACTGGGCCCTGTGCTGTCCTCCCTGATCCCATCAGCAAGTGTTCAGAAGCAAGGCAGGTGGCAGAGGAGAGAAGGTGTTAAACTGGTAGGAAGAGAAACCACCGCTCAGAGCGAAATGGCTCAGCAGAGTGCTGTGTGCGCTCCCCAGGGGACCAACATGTCCTGCCATGTCACAGATGGCGGCCAGGGAGCCACTCTCACCCACTACAGCCCAAGTGGGTACAGTGGGTCCATCAGGGAGACATGGGAGATGCCCTAGGGTACACAGAAGGAAGGTCTCTGTGAGAAGCACTGGCGAATGGTTGAAAGAGAAGCAGGCCCCAGGGGCCTCCTGCATCCTCCTCTCAGCCACTAAGTGAGGCAGTGTTGGCAGAGCAAATACACAGCCAGCTTGGCTCAGGGGTTCTGCACCTTGCTTGGAACTGAGGAAACTATCAAGGGTGGGCAAGGTGATGGGTGCTGGCGTCCCCAATGGGACCCCCTCATGTCACTGCCTAGTAGGACCTGAGGCTAGAGGCACCTACAGGTCTGCCAGCCCAGAGATGGCAGGATGGGCTTGAGGCTGCCCTGCACCATCCACAGGCACCCTCCTCACAGGCCCTTGGCCTTTGGAAGCATGGCTGTGCTTCCAAGAAGGGAAGCAAGGAGAATGCAATAGCGGCTACTCTGCAGCCGTGGGATATGAGTCAAACAATTGCTTGACCCCTGAGAGAGGGGAGATCTGCTAAACTCCCAATAAATGGCATTTGTGCTAAACCATAACATCAAAACACCAGAGATGAAGTCAGTTGCAGAGACAGTCAAAAAACTCTTTAGTTATAATTCCTTCTCCTTCTCTTATGAGCAATGCAAAGTTGAGCCTATCCTTCCTCTCTGAACCTCCACTTCCCCATCTTTAAAATGAGGGCAGTACAATTTAGACATATAAAGCCTCTTGCACTGCATCTGGCATGTTCGGAGGACTAAAGAGATGGCTAAAGAATATGCTTGTCAAACCAAGAGGACTGCTCAGCCCAGGACACATGAAAAGAGGTCAGGAGCAGGACTGGTTCAAGCACTGGGCACAGGTGATTTGGCCTGGACACTGTGGCCCCACAGGAGTTTATGCTCTGCAGATGGCACAGCAGGCTGAGTCCTGGGAACACTCATCAGCCACCCATAGGCTCTGGGTGAGCCTCTAGCCAAGTGTGGTATTGTCACTGTGCTCCTGAGCTGGAAATCCAGTTTTAATAGGCGCTTCCTTGAGCTGGGTCAGTTATGAGACCATCCTGGAGGAACAACCCACTCCTAGCATATCCATCCAATTCAGCTTCTGCATAATAAAGCAGAGGACAAGCTACGGACCACAGTGGATTCACCAGGGAAAATCACTCTGGAGAAGACTCTGGGAAGGTGACCTGCTGGCCTTCTTGGGACATTTACTTCCCTAAGCTGCAGATGGGAAGATAAAATCACAGTCAGGCCTATCAGATAAATGACTCACTACTTAGTAGAAAACCCAGACATGTTCGCCAGCTCTTAGGGTGGGTTCTGAGCTGATGGACATTTTTCTTAAAGGAGATGAACTGACTCAATGATCTGAGAAGCCAAGGACCAAAAAACTCATGCGTAGCATGAGGGCTCAGCTGTATATCCCAAAAGTTTTAAAGGGAACCCTGGAATGATACCTCATTACCACCAGTCCCTGGTCCTTGGCAGTTGCTCACGGACTCTAAGCTTTGTGTATTGTGGCATTTGGTGCAATGCTAGAGTTTTTGCAGAGCACAGCCCAGATTAGCCAAGTCATCCATCTGTCCTTCTACCCATCTAGCAGACCCTCACACGGTCTCTGTTGTCATCTAGCTCAGAGTTGGGCCTGCCCTCGGTCCCATGGGGAGGACACATGAGGAAATGGGCAGTGCTATGATCAGACATGGGGAGCCAGAAAAGCTGCCTGACGCAGATATGAGGGAGTCAGGGCAGGCTTCTGGCAGGAAGTGATATTGATCCTGAGAATGAAAGATAAAGACGAAAGGGTGGCCCGGCAGAGGAAAGTAAATATACAAAGGCTGGAGTTGAAAGAGCACATGGGACACTTAGGGAACAGAATATTCTGTGCAGAAAATAAAGCACTGAGCCCACAAAATCTCATACAAAGATCAGTGCTACAAGTCTGTGGGGCTGGCCTCTTGGATATGCTGAGCTTTTAGCAGTCACCATATTACCATGGTCCTCAGTGGGAGGAAGAAGGGGACTTGGCCTAAAATTCCTGAATTCCTGATGCCTGGGCAGCCCTTTCCTACGCACTGTACTGTTTGACCCTCACAACAGCTACAGGTACTCCCTCTAAGGTGGGAGCAGAGACTCCACTGGAGAAGCCACCTTGTTCAGCAAGCGAGGCACACAGTAAAGAAGTAGTAGAGCATGGACTCAAGCCCAAGACTGCAGTCTCAATGCCAGCCCCTCATGTGGTATGGCCACCCCAGCCCCTGCCAACACTGGGCCCACTCTCACAATCCATCCTTTCCTTTGCATTGGCACTGAGCCCACAGACAACCAGCTCCAGCTGCCTGGAAGAACCCAGGCCCGGGTTCAGGGGCTGGGGGAAATGCAAGGCCACCAGAGCCTGTGTGAGGGGACAAGCCAGTCAGGCCAGTCATTTGCTATTTTTCACCAGCCCACATGGGTGGGCTTCTTCCTGGTCTCACATCAAGAACTCACCAACTTCTCCTGGCTGAGTCCTTCTCCTCCTACCTGGGGTGATGGAAGGCAGTGCACAAAGGGCTGGGCTGCCCACTCCTCCTTACAACTTCTACTTAGGTGCTCACCCCAAAGGAGGTATTTGCAGCAGTGGCAGCTCCTCTGGCCTTGAGGCTGGGCCTGCACCCCTCCTTGGCTGGGCAGCAACCAGAGGGTCTCATTCTTTCAGGCTTACCAACCTTCTCAGTCAGTCAGAACTGCTTACATTTACACTGAGGTTCCCTTCAGAGCTGGGAGCCACTGCAAGGCAGAGTTGTGAGTCCAGGTCCCCTGAGGACATGGGCCTCACAGTCAGCCCAAGCCACCAAGCCTTTGGCATGGGGAGGGCAGAGCCTCAGCCTTGGAGTCTGGTCTCATCTCATTATTTCACAGGGCCTTGGCCTCCTCTGACCTCCACACCTCTCTTTTGACCTGGGGTAGGGCTTGGTGGTCTCTAGGGTCCCAGCTGTGCTGCCTCCTTCCATACCCCAAGAGACTCTCTTGGCTGCAGCAGAGATGTGTATTGTGTGTGTGTCGGGGGCAAGGGGAGTGCGGACAGCACTCAAGGGAATCAGTGGTGCTGGTGTTGCCAGGTGAGTGGCTGTGTTTGTAAATATTCACCTGGCAGGAGGACCCAGGCATGAACAAGCCACTTGACATGAACTAGCCGCCTCCTCCTCTCTTCCTGGAATATCCGACATCTTTTTCTTCAGCACAGACCAGTTCAGAATACCAAGTAGTATCTAAGGCTGAGGAAACTGGAACTTCCTCCCACCTCAGCATGCCCTCTGCTGATGTAGGGCAATCCAGCACGGGAGAGAACAGGAAGAAAGGGGCCCCGGTGGGAAATATGTTGGTTCCAAGGTGGTGGGGTGGCAGAAGCAAAGTCCCAGAGCACAGTCACTGTGGAAATGGCCCTGGGGACCCTGGCGTGGCTCCAAGAACCCTCTGCTGGTCCAGCCTCCTAACCTTAATACTCTAGGCTTCACTGTCTAGCTGGATACCCGACCACTCCTCTCTACCCCAATAGCCCCTGGCCTGACAGCCACCACCAAGCAAAGCCCAGTCTCCCATACCACCCTCTCCATAGATCTCCTAGCTCTAACAGGTACTTGCGCTGTTACCAAAGTTATTTCCTGATATGTAGATAGGATCATGTCATGCCACTGCTCAAAAATCTGATCTGGCTTCCTATTGCCTTAGGACCAGCGTCCAAACTAATGATCACACTGAGGATCTCCATAATCCTCAGATTCTTCCCTCCCCTTAGAATCACTCCAACTTCCTCTGTATCAGCCTCTCTAATAGGGCTTCATCTTATGGAGTTCTGGGCCTCTGAAAACCTCTGAGGTCTTCAAAAAGGGTGGAGAAGCTCAAGCCCAGCCACCAAATCATTGAAGAATCTCTTCAACTCCAAGTGAAGAACTCTAAAAGAAAACTACGACCTCTCCCAGGGCCCAGGGACCCTAGCAAACAAGCTTGGGAGAGGGCCCAAAGGGGGTATTCCGGTGCTGAACTGACCTGGGTCCAAATCTTGACTCAGTCTCTTGATAGCTGTGTGGCCTTGGGCAGGTCACTTTGCCCCTCTGGGCCTCATCTCAAACAAGCTCGTGGACCAAGAGTGCAGTGCCAGGAATGTAGTAAGGGAAACACTTAGTAGACAGTAAGTAGCTGAAGCAGTTACTCCATCTCTTTGCAAGCCAAAGGGGCTCAAAGACAACTTGCACAAGTAGATGCATTCACACCCTACCTTTCCAGCAGGCTCCTGGCACTGGGGAGGCGGCTGAGCTCGTCCCACTAGAACCAGCCTCCCTTTATAGGGCCTGTGGGGCCCAGGGAAAGAAGTTACCACATCTTGATCAAAGCACAAAGTGGTGAAGGCCCTGCCCCGAGTCTGCCCTCCTGGGGACAGCCGATGGCAACAGCCGCCTGCTCTGAGAAGCCGGGTGGTGGTAGAGGCGTTAGCAGTGGTGGCGCAGGCTCCCTGGTGGCTGTGGGAGCAGGTCTGGCAGGGACCAGGGCACAGAGCAGTTCTGTAAGGAGTTGCTGGCCCCTCAAGGCCCCCGCCAGCCCCACCTCCAT